TGTTATTATTAGCCTTTCCACGTTACGCTACTGGCTACGCCCTCCAAGCATCGAAAGAAAATAAATTTCCACCGCGTCATATGCCAGAGTGGGCGGTGATGCTCCTAATTGCCTCTCTATCTGACAGGGCTGTTTAAGTAATTTCACGGATCAAGCGGGGAACAACATATTTTCCGAGCGTCTTGCCTACAGGGAAACATTAATTTTCGACATAATTGCTCCGAACCGGGACCGTGTGATTGACAGGCCGTATCGATGACTGCCGTATTAAACCTTAATTACTGGTCCCGCGGACCCCCAGGTGACCTTGTTTGCCAGTGCTGAGATATGTCGGAATGCGGCAAAAATGAGCGGAAATTCATTTGTCCGCTGTGGTTTATGGCGCCGACATAAATCTCCCTCCTTAATCGAAGGCTCTGGATATTATCGTTTCATTAGCTGCCAAACATTTCATGAATCTGGTTATACCACTGCACCTCGGCGGCTTGTTCCTTAGAACATTGGTCATACGTGCCATTCCGAACACAACCGTGTCTCTGCACGACATCGGGCTATTTCAGAATGTACAGCATACCGGGCAATAATGACCTCACAGCTCTGCACGGCTCATCTTTGAGCGCGTTTGATCGTCCGTCGCGCCGGCCCTCTGAAGGCCCGCTCTCAGTGGTCGACAGATGACCGTCCCTTGTCGCGCCGCGGGCAGGTATGTGGGTAATTGTCAGCGCCCGGCGCGGCAGGACCACCAGGCTCACAGTGCGCCGCCCTAGGGGTAGACAAACCACCGAGAGGGGCTCTGAGGGCTTCCGGTCGGTTAGAGGGAGGTCTGTGATTGGAGCTCTGCTGCCAGATACTGGCTACCTGGTACTGGATACCGTCCACCGCCCGCCTCCACCGAGAGGGGCTTCCTGTCCAGTGGCGCAGCCAGGATTTCGTTTCGGGGGGGTCATCGCTTCCAAAGCGGGCCCCCTAGTGTGCGGGCCCCCACCCATTTTTCAGAATCTCTCCATATTTCATACGCATTCTGCTGGGCGGGCCCCCTTTACCTGCACGATAACCCTGAGCGAGTTTGAATCAGAAAATTTGCATAGAACAGTAGCTCGGTAATCACCCGGTCTTCACTTTTTACGCAAATTGACCACGACAGAAATATGTTACTATGACGTATGACTTCGTATCTTTCGAGTCCGATATGAGCCCCAATTCCGCAATATGCATAGCATATTATACGCAATCGGAACTGTTGCCTGCTTCTGTCGCACAAGATTTAAAAGTAGTCCCATGTGCCTGTCCTAAGTCATCTATTGGCTGCTGTAGTAGATTGTGCTTTTATTCTTCTTCATTACGTGAATTCGCTCGTAAGAAGTTTTAACCCTCGCCGGCACAGGGGGGAGGGGTTGATGCAACCCCCTAAGGTTTTTTTTTTCGCGAAGAACTCGCGTAAAAAAGCGGCTGATCGCGACGTAACTTCCATAGTGCGCTGAAATTCGCGCAACTTATAGAACAAGGATGGGTAACGTGCCTGTGAAGAGTCACAGCTCGATCGGGCCGGTGGTGAGCACATGGCGCGTGCTCAAAAAGTGCAAATTCGCGTCATAGACTTTACATGCATAAATCGGCTTGCAAAAATGGGCGACAATGGCTCAACTTGCCCGACACGGGTCCGGTCCCCGTGCAGTATCTCGGTAACCGTGGGTCCGATCGGCACGAGGAACACAGTATCGTGCATGAGAATCGAACGGGCTATCGAATGGTGTGCGGTGCAGGGATGGCACGCGCCACGTGCACCCGTGAGGGCACTTATGCTTGAAAAATTGACGTTTTGGACGGATTTTGGACTTAATGCTATTTTTGGGTGACTGTCAGACGGAGCGGGTTCAAACAACGCTTATTGGCAAGAGAAATGTACCTACCGCCTCTCATGGGAAAATTGTGAAAAGCTAATTGATCAAAAACAAGGTGGAACAAAGTGCTGGAGAAAATAGCATTTGCTTATGACTTACTTAATTACAGGGGTTTTGCTACATAACCTGGTATGTTTGACAATTGAAATGGGCATAGATTGGAAGAGCATTCAATTGTGACCAAGGTCCAATCATCGCTTTTGCATGACGAGCAACAATATTCTTAAGAATATAAATGTTTCAAACCTCTACATAGTAATTCATCGATGGCTTTCACTCTTCAATAGCCTACGCCAACCTATGTCATGAAATACACTTGGCATGTTCTATAGTAGAACGCATGGTTATTATCAGACACGAGCACCTCGATGCGATGGATATTTTTTCCCAAAACCAAAATGCTTAGCCGTCAAAAGGCAATCGACCGTAATGGATACATAACCCACAGACACAAGACCAACCAAACGCCCACCGATCGAAAATACCCCTTATTCGCGTTGCGAAGCAAGCGGGTCACCCTAGCGGGCCCCATTCACCCGGGGGCTCGGGCCCTATCCACATGGGGGACCAAGCCCTATCCATACGGGGGCCCGGGCCACGTTCACCTGGGCTCCGGGCCTCGTCCACCCGGGGCTCCGGGGCCCGCCCACCAGGGGGCCCGGGCCCCATCCAGCCGGGGGCCCGGGCCCCGTCCACCCGGGGCCTGGGGTCCGTACTCCCGGGGGCCCGGACCCATCCATCGGGGGGCCCTGGCCCCATCTACCCGGGGGGCCGTGCCCCATCCACCTAAGGGGCCCGGGCCCGTTCTCCCGGGGCCCGGGCCCCATCCACCCGGGGGCCTGTGCCCTATCCACCCAGGGGCCCGTGCCCTATCCACCCAGGGGGCCCGGGCCCGTTCTCCCGGGGCCCGGGCCCCATCCAACCGGGGGTCCGGCCCCGTCCACCCGGGGCTCAGGGCCGTTCTCCTGGGGGCCCGGGCCCCATCCAGCCGGGGGCCCGGGCCCCCTCCACCCAGGGGGCCCGGGCCCGCTCTCCCGGAGCCTCGGGCCCCATCCACCCGAGGGGCCTGGACCCGTTCTCGCGGGACCCGGGGGTCCGGGCCCCGTCCACCCGGGGCCCGTTCTCCCGGTGGCTCGGATCCATCCACCGGGGCCCCATCCGCCGGGGGGCCCGGGCCCTATCCACCCGGGGGCCCGGACCCATCTACAGGGGGCCCGGGTCCCATCCACCCAGGGGGCCGGGCCCGTTCTCCTGGGGGCCCGGGCCCTGTCCACCTGGGGCCCCAGGCCGACCCCTCACCCGAGGTGTCGCAGTTGGCATTTCTCGAAGCGGGCTCGTCCGATTAGATTAGGACCTCTCTCTCTCCTCTCTCTCTCTCTCTCTCTCTCTCTCTCTCTCTCTCACTCTCTCTCTCGAGCGGGCCCCTGACAGAAATTTCGGGGGGGTCAGCTGACCCTCTGACCCCCCCCCCCTGGCTGCGCCACTGTTCCTGTCGGTCACTTAGAGGACTCTGTGGGGCTCGGCTGTCAGATGCCGTATATCATAAAGATCGTAAGAAAGACTTTTAAAAACGCAAAGGAAAGAAAATAGTAAAAAAAAACTAACTCTGTAGACAAGAGAGCTACCAAAATAATTACGGTGGCGAACGGAATGTCTGCAAGACAGTTTTAAAACGACCAAAAATGTTGGCCTAAAATCAATTTTCAAGGTCAGCGGTCAAGGTCAAAGGCAAAAACTAGCACATGTGTGGTGATCTCAAACCAAGTGGTCCAGAGGCAGTGGTGCGGGAACCAGGGGGTGGGGGGTGGGGCTAGCGGGAGCTGAGCCCCTCCAACTTTTCGGCGGGGGGAGGGGCTCGTAATGTATTTGAGCCCCCCCCCCCCCAGCTGGAGGAATCGAAATCGGAAATCTACCAATATAATTTCATAGATCCATACATAGGCGCGGGAACCGGGGGAGGGGCAGTGGGGGAAGCTTGCCCCCACAGCTCTGGGGCCGTGGGGGCGGTGCCCCACAACTTTTCATGAGTTCAGAAACCGTCGGGACAGCTTATCCTACCCAAAGTAGGGGTTGTGGGTCACAAAGGAAGAAAGCATGTAAGTGAAAAATCCATCCCTTTACTGGCTCGGCAACTCATTTGGCAGATTAAAACTTTTATTCCAGGTGGCCAAAACGGTAGTTTCTTCACTGAGCTGAGACAAAATACCTGTTTTTGCAAATATTTTCGTTTTTTTTTTGTTGAAAAGGCCAAGGTCTGAAAAATAAGTGGCCTGAAGCCGGTGAGAAAACTAGATTTGGGGGTACCCTAGGTTGATCTCTATTATGGTTCAGCCCCCCCCCCCCCCCCCCCAGTCTGGAAGAAGTTCCCGCGCCACTGTCCAGAGGACGGTAGTATGCATGAAACCATGGTCAAATTGGGTTCGAAACGAAAGTGAAGAATCTCAGGAACCTTATGATGTGCTTAAAGTTCAAGGTCAAGGTCGAACACATGCTCTAAAATGAACACAAACCTTGCACTGTTTCCTATATCATGTGTACTAAATTCCCAAGTGTTCTGAAATATTTTGAAGCTTATCAAGCCCCTATTTGTGGTTCATATAATGGCAAAAAGCTCGCTTAGATGTGCTACAATCACACCACCGCGTCTCCGTGGCGAGTGTTGTCCTGCCTACCAATTTTTATTTCTAAATGCTTCCGTTATCCCAGTCACATTCTCTCACACCGGCAGCCATCTCCGATTCTGCAGGCTCCAGCCCTCCGGGTTTTGTCCCACAGCCCCCTCTCTGCGCACCATCTCTCCCGGCACGACGCAGGGCACACAGCTCCTCCGTATTGATCCGAGCTGTGCTCCCGCGCAGTATCGGTATTCCTCTTCTCCGACTCTCCTCTACCAATGGCATCGCCTCGCCGCACCGGTCGTCCTCCATTATAGCTGCTCTGCTATCACGCTGCGCGCCGGCGCCGCTTGGTCGCTCCCCACCGCAGCTGATATCGTCCTGATATAAGAATGATCCACCGAAGCTCGGCCGCTGATTGGTCGCCGCGCGGCCGCGCCGGCCCGATCGCGCCTTGATTGGCTGATTATCTGGGAGCGTCATTGAGCGGCGCGGCGGTGGCGCTCAGTACCGGACCGGCAGCCGCCGAGAGAGGATCGGGGAGCCACGCCAGCTGATCGCGCGTGCGCCGCCGTTACACCGTTACCGCCCGCCGCAGAAGGTCGCCAAGATTCGGACCAAGCGTGAGCCGGCGCATGTGATGCTGGGCTGTGCGGTAACCGACAGCCTGATCGGCAGAATGGAGACAGCTGATATGGACCCGGCAGTGGTGAGTGCTCAGTGGGAGGGTCAGAGGGGTGATGGGATGGGGTGGTGGTGACCGCCTGGTGGGATGGGGAGGTCAGCGGGGTAGTGGGATGAAAAAAGGGTGGTGGTGGTGGGATGGGGTGGAAGAGGTGGCGGGATGGGGATGCTGTGGTGGTGGCATGTGATGGAAGCAGTGATGGGGAGATGACAGGCTGGGAGGGAATGTGAAATATGGGAAACGCCTTTTTGTGATGCGGCAGCTGGGCAGATGAATAACGCGATTAAAAGGTGATATGCTGCTGAGATCATCCGGGTATGCTTTTAGATGGTAGCACTAGCATGGAAGTGTTGCTTGATATTTATTTCATGTATTTTACCTATCAGTTACTGAAGGAATAACATTCAACTCACCGCCCACTTCCTGTTTCCTCCTTTTCCTCTCTCCCTTTCCCTTTCCTTCTCTCTTCCCCTCTCTCTCTCTCTCTCTCTCTCTCTCTCTCGACTCTCTCTCTCTCCCTCTCCTTCTCCCTCTATATCTCGCTTTCCAGTCGCTTTCTCGGGCGGGCCACACATCTCAGACATCTCTGCTCCGGTCACATCGCATTCCCTCATCTCTCACTGCCCCGAGGTCCCAGCACTGCTGTCCCCCCCCCCCCCACTGATTCACGACCCTTACCCCGTCCGTCCGACTCCACCCGTCCACCTCTATGATCTCCTGTCCACCTCTATCGGCTCCGTATCGGACATTGGCTCCAGGAGAGCCGGAGGCCGGCGGGAGGGGGGAAGGGGACGGGGGTGATGAACCCTTCCGACAAACACTGGTGGCGGAGAGGACCCTCTTATGGCCCGGTCCAGAGGTCAATCCGCCCGCCCGCAGAGCGATGTGCAGGCCCTGGTGTCTGCTGTCACAGAAAGGGGCACAGGGCAGTAGGCCTACTGAACTGCGCATGAGATACCTACTACGAGCGATTGCGGCGTTATGATAGGTCGAGGGGTGGATTATGTAAGCAGGCTGCGCAGTCAAATGTCGATTTATGACGATCAAATTGAAAGTTCGAATTAATAATGTGTCATAAAGGCACTAAATACAGCGTAGCCAAGGGATATCTACGCGGTTCGGATGATTTCATACGAAGCTGCGGCTAATGTCAAACCAATCATCCGTGGGCATAAAATTGGCACCAATGTGTAGTTGAATACGTTCGGTTCTTCTGACAGATATCCGTATAATGTCATTATTCGCGACGTTTCTACGGTTGGTGAGAATGTGGTAGATAGCTATTTGGCTAAGCTCAGCTTGAATGTCCTCTCGAGATGAAGTTTGGTAGTTCTTACGAATATGAAATACTTTTGAAACAACTAGATATTTTTTTACATTCATTTAAAACATGGTACTCAAAACTCAAGTTGTACTTTTCATGTTTCCTTACACAATCGCAGTCGGCCGTCTCCAAGCAACTCATCCTTATAGGAAAATATAAGTTTGGCCTATTTGTCTCGTCTCATCTTCTCATCTCATTGTCTCATCGGTTTCTCATATCTCATATTTGTCTGGCAGACCCAATCGCTATCCGCTTCGGTCTCCTGCTCAGCCGAGCACGATTCTACGATTCAGATCACTCGAATTCAGCGGAATCGCATGCGCAATCGGCTACACTACAGCTCCAAAACAACACATACGGTTTACCGGTGACTGAGTTGATCACTGGTTCGCACGAAGCACTAGCCAATCGTGGTACTGTTATCGCTGAACGCGAGACTACAATTGTGGCGCGGTTGAAGGTTGATGCGGCAATAATTCGGGCTTGATGCGGGGATTGTGACTCACTGATGCGGTGCAGTATTGCTCGTAATGACACACTGTCAGACTGTGTGTGTATCTCGGCGTGCGTGAATATGTGTTTGTGCTTGTTCTGTGAGGGAGGCAAACCACAGAATGGGGGTCGTAACCACTTCTCTGTGATCTTTATCGATACAAGAAAAAGCGATCGAACACAGGTGGCGAACTTATATGCAATAGGGAGAAGTAAAATGTGTCCAGTAGCGGCGGAACACCTTCAATTAAGGGGGGGGGGGGGCACTGCCGACTTTTGGTCCCATTCTTTTCATGCAACGCCCATAGGGCTAATGTTAAAATGCCAAAATCAAAGGGGGGCACGGTGCCTCGGTGCCCTCCCCGTTCCGCCGCCCATAAATGTGTCAGCTCATTTTAGTGAAGGGCCCTTTTTGGTGGGAAGGGGGCATTCTTAGGCCATATGGGGGGCATGCTTAGACCATCTGATATATACAAATATAATGAGTTTCTGCTCTTACGATCGTCTTTTCTTCTCGCAATTGTCATTTTTTAGGATGTAAATCAATTGCGTTGAAAACTTGGTCTGCTATTTCTTTGACTCTTCCAACAGCTGAACCTTTTCATAACTAAAAACCACATTTAAATAAATATATCCGTGACTTCTGCGGGGATTCTAGTCGGCTTCACCGTCTCACCATAACAGTCTACCCAGCAGGAAATGTGGAGCTTTCGACCACCAGCATTCTCTTTAAAAGCGTCTCCGCGGTGGGCCGGTGCCCGCGTCTCGACTGATTTATAATCGGAGAAAAATAGCCATAATGAGTGGTGCGCCGGTGGCTGGGCCGCGTTCGGAACCGTCGCGGCAGCGGCCGGCCCTTTAATCAGGTTAGCGGATTTGTCCGGTTTGTTTTGGCGAAGCCGACTCAGACGCAGGGCCGCAGAGAGCACGAGAGCCAGATGGCGTGCGGACGACCCTCGCCTGGTCCTGCGGGATCAGTGTTTGTCACAGGTCGCTGAGTTGTGCCGGCCGAGTCGGGTTTCAATTCCTATTAAAATCGTGTTATCCTGGCATGAATGATTAGATCAAGCCATGGCCGATATTTCCGGAAATGCTCAACAACCGGGATACCTATGACGAAAATCGGATGCATGATTAGCTTGCTGCACAGCTTTCCGCCCATCTAGAGCACCAGTCGCTCTTCAACCTCAAATTCCTTGTCCTTTTTCTCTGAGAAATCCCAGGTGTCCACCTCCATCCAGGTATAAATTCCACAGCTCCCCGTCTCAAGGCCTGGCCATTTTCTTGGCGACATTAACGGGGCGCAGAGGACGACCGCGCGCACCGGAGAGCGAGCGAGAGGAGGACAGTTGTGCCGTTTGTCTTCACATCTAATTCAGCGTCGGGCGTCGGTCCTTATCCAATTTTCTCTCTCTCCTTGCGGGAGTGCCGGCCACGCTGGCCATTATTGGAGTGACCCCGGTCGGGGCCGTCGATTGATAGCGAGTGATTACGGTCTGTAGCGCATAAATCTGCCCAGTGGCCATTCAATTGTCAGCCGGGTGGACTGGGCGCCGGCGACCCGGCCATTAGGCCGTGTCTTATAGGGAAATGCCGCGTATCACGGACGCTGCCGATGGTGACGTCTCGGGAGAGCGGGAGGCCGGCTTTGTGATGGGACAGGTGGGAGGCACAGTTTCAGGTAGACATGGAATGGTCCCGTGGTGATATGAGGTGGAGATGCATATCGGGATCGTCACCTTAAAATAGACTAAAATATAAAAAATAAACGAGTTGGCACGTTAATATTCTATCTACTGATTCGCCATCTTTGAGTAAAGACGTGGTCCTGGACTATGCAATGTTACAACTCGACCATCACGATCACTTTTACCTGAACATTGCTTGTCAACAACAGTCACACGTTAAGCTTTTTGACGAGTTACCGACAAGATATGTCGCCTGTGCTTTCCTGACTGGCATCTGTCCTTGTTTCAGATTAGCAGTATCAGTGGACCAGCTTGGGGCGCAGCCGCCCATTACCGTCAGCTTATCCAGCAACAGCAACAACAGCAGCAGCAGCAGCAGCAGTCAGCCGAAGAAGAGGTATGCACCGATTGCGACTACTAACGGTGTATCTGCTCACGCCCAGTGCGCTACTTTTTAACATTGCTCTAATGTCCCCGTGTTTATAGGCAGTAGCGGCGGAACACCTTTAATTAAGGGGGGGGGGGCACTGCCGACTTTTGGTCCCATTCTTTCCATGCAACGCCCGTAGGGCTAATGTAAAAATGCCCAAATCGAGGGGGCACGGTTCCCCGGTGCCCCCCGTTCCACCGCCTATGTTTATAGGATGTTTTGCATACGCGCTGTTTCGACCGCTCCAGGTCCTTGAAATTCCACAGCTCTGTGGGGCATTTGTGTTGTGATTGTTGTCACACAATGCCAATGAGAACCAGTTGACGCGCACTGGGTCCCACGGCTGGTTAGTAACGTTGTAACCGACTCACAAAATAAACCCACCTGGCCTCAGCTGCCTATTCAGATTAGCTCACTTCACCGCGAATACGGTCGGAATATAGCTTTTAATCCCCTCTCCACCCCACCCCACAAAGCAGCGTCTGAAAGAGCCATCAGCCCCCGATTTTCGTATAAATATGTGGCTACTGGGAGCGATTTATCCACTTTTTATCGCCTCGTTTGCATGGGCCTTATTCAGATGTCCACGCCTCACCGCCTCAATAAATCATACATAATTTGAACCTATAGTGATAAAAATAACCGCTCTTTTGGAGAACTAACAATTCTTAGGGAATTGTACCATATTTTCAATATTATTTCACTAACGTGCGCCAAATGTTATTAGACAACCTTCTAGATATTTGAGCAGAATACAATCAGAACGAATTTTGAAAATAAATGAGTTATTTAAAGTGTGATAAATCGTCTCTCGCATGCAAAGAATGTGGAGCTCAATCACCAACTTATTTTTGGTTTTTACGTCTGCTCGTATAATAAATAATATCACCAGCATCTCCCAATGGATTCCCCGAACTCACCCCACCCTACCCGCGATCCGGGTGTACGACCCCACGTTAACCTACCCCCGATCTGGGTGTATTTATACTCCCCGATGGTGTTTGTCACTGGCTGAGTGATATCGCTGCCTCCTGCTCCGAGCCGCCTGGCGCACTGCCCACCTACCATTCATCAGTTCCGTCGACCGCGATCGGCACGCTCTGAATGTCACTATCGTCACCGGGATGCTGCCCGAGACCCATCTGTCAGGTCATCTGACACAATTTTCCGCCCCCGTCAGCCGTCAGCCGGCGGGCCGGACCGGCCGAATCAAATGTCATATGACAGCCGAGTGGTTTTAGGTGGTCAGAGAGCTGTGGTGGCTCGCAGAGCAGTATTTGATAAATATTCGGATAATCAATCAATAGTGAGGTGCTTTGTGTCATTAGATGTAATGAATATTGATTTAATATCACAATATGTATAAGCTCTTAATTTTTCCTTAATTTCTTCGGCTGCGCTTGTGAAGACAATTGCGAGACAATATTGGCCACAAACGGGAAACGTCATATGTATGCTTTGAATAAGGAGCAAAGCTGTAACCAGATTCTCCCTAACCAATGCACCACTTCCAAGGCACGAATTCATATCCTGCTGTTAGATTCGACATCACGTTTGCTCGACATCCGACTCCGACTCCGACTCCGACTCCCGCTCCGATTCCTGGCTCGGTCCGGGCCCGATTTGGCGCGAGCCGTCGTCTCAGACGCCGCCCGCTCCAGTAGCTCCAGCGCGCCAAATTATGGCGCGCACGCGCCGATCGCGTGATATAAATACAACCAGCCAAGAATACCCCGTCGGCCGGCCGGCCCGAGGGGTGGGGCCGATGCGCCCCAGGGGTGGGGAGGGAAGGGGCGACGGCGGCGGAGAGGCTAGGGGGCAGCGGCAAGCTCCGTTGTTCGGGAGGCGAGGAGGAAGGGAGGTTGATGTCAAAGAAAAGACGGTGATGATCGGGCCGCACGAGTCACTTTTGGGCAAGCTTTGTTCGTGGTGACGCATCTGAAGCGCCTTGACAACAGGAGCTATTAATCTTTGGTTCTGAGCCAAGATCAGCCCGGATGGGGCTCATGGCTGACATCCAAGGTAAATCTTGTTAATGTGAAGCTGGCTAGACTGTGGTCGCTGATCTGGCTAGAGACTCTGCCGAGCTTCTTGCTATACCAATCTGGACGGCTGCCAAGAAGAAGCGTCTCAAGGAAAATTCCCAAATTCGTCGTCAGACGATACATAGGTTGTGAAATTTAGTGTCTTCAGAATTTGGATTAATTTGAGGATTATTTATCATTGAGTTCGGATTAACTTACCAAATGCTTAAATGTAGACTATTGTGTTGCGGGTTCCACGTTAGTGCAACAGCGCAGTAGAAATGCAATAGCCGTCAAATGGTTTCCCTTCGTAGGCTATCATAGATACAATGATATTTGAATACCATTTCAAGAATATGCGATTAGAAATACGCACTTCTCTTATCTGGGGACGGCGCAAATATTATTGTGCCCGCTGGTTTACCAGTCGGCGGTGAGATGTCCGATACGCTGTGGAGAGCGGCTCGCTATCAGAGCGACCGGCGGGCCGGGGCCCGGGGTGACATACCGGGCTGGTGTCCCGCCGCTTGGCGCCTCGCGCCCCTGTGTCTCCACACAGCATACCACAACACAGCGGTGACCGGCGCGCCCGAGCGACTCGATCGATCCTCACTGTATGCAAATGGCCTGTTTTTCTCTCGGTCGCGCCCGCGCCGTCCATCTTATAAATGCGCCACTTGGTCCATCGTCTCAAATATTTTCATATCTTTTGTCACGCTCGCTCTGGAATGAGCGGATGGCGGCGCGGTGCCGCGGCGGGGCGCTGGCGCCGCTCCCCGGGCCGGTCGCTGATGCGGGTTCCTCGCGTACCGTCTTCGCCGTATCAGACACCGGCGGAGTCGCTGACTCAGAAGAGTCGTGACTCGATGAGTTGTGAGTCAGCTTCTCGACCTCCTTGACCGCCAAGACATTGATGCAGCCTCACTCGTGTATCGTTTTCATCCTGTGGTTCTGTGCGCTCCTCGTTTTGTTTGTCCGCCTTTGTGACCCCAGTGGGCGATCTGAACTGGAAATTTATTGGCTCGACTAAAGCATTTGACAAACGGGTTCAGAGCCGCGGAGCCTCCCAGGAGGCGGTCGCGTCCCTCCACGCGCCCCGTCGAGACCTTAGTAGCCGCGACAATGCACCAGATAAAGCCCGAACATGAAATATTGTGCGCGCATTGAATAAACACGAGTCACATCGGAAAGCGGGATAGTCTCCAACTGTTTACGCCCGGTCAGTGTCGTTGCTATGACGACCAGGACCGACCAATCAACGCCGTCGTTTGATGGCAGCGCGAGATGCCGCGCGATAAGCAGCGGACGAAATCCGCCGACAATGGAAGAGCGACGCGTCGCCGACGTCTCCGCCGCGCCGCCGAGCGCCGCTGTGCGCCGGACCGGCCGCGCAGAGGTGCGCCGCCGGATTAGCGGCCGCTCGGCGGTGAACCGGTGAAAGCGGCGCGTTTCATTCAGCCGGTGCCGGTGGTGACGGATGCCGGCTACTCAGTGCTCAGTCGATCAGAGGCTGATTGACGCCGACCTGAGCGGTCATCCCCCGCTGTTGTGACCCCGGCGGCCGCCAGACCCACGCTGGTCGCTGCTGACGCCAATTATGCATGTCGCTGCATGGTGCGTGATGCCGCTGACGACCTGAGATGAGCGGCGCAAAGTGCTGACGATGTTTGTTTCGGTGATTGGTTGACTTGATTATTAATTGTTGGAAACAATGTAGGTACGAAAGGCAGTCCGTAGTCGAGAATTAAATGAATCAGTAAAATCGCTAAGCACGTTTATTTCACAGGTGGCAAATTCTACCCTTCCTTTGCAAGCTTCCCGGTCAACTTCTCATTTCGTGGCGCATCCTTATAAGTTCTAGCTCCCACATCAAGACTCCCATGTCACTCCAGTGCAGGTGTGGGTGGTGTCCGTCCACTGACTTTCGATCATCCGGCGTCGGATTCGCCCCCGACTGCGCCAGTCTGCCTCCCGCCGAGCCCCGTCACTCCAAGTCCTGACGATTCAGCGGAGCCAGGCGTCACCGCCCACGGCCTATCGAAAACTGACACGGCCGCATACATAACCGAGCTACTGGGAACGCGCCCCAAGAGAGAAAGCATTCGAAACATTCGAAACTTCCGGGGCGCGCTCCTGTCAATCTCGTATATTTGCGCAAGCGCATGGGTATTGGGTATTGAGCAGTGCCCCGCTGATTTGATAACGAAAGTCTGGGAGAACTCTTGACTGTTCCTTCTCACTAAGGTCATGCTGTAGTTGTGTTGCCGTTGTGGTTTCCATACTCCCGCAAAACAAAAGCTGCAGGCGTATTTTCCTGTCGAGACGTTGCTGCTGACACGGGCACAGAGGCGTTGCTTCTGAGACATTGCAGCTGAGACTTCGCTACTGAGATGTTCCTACTGAAGCATTCCTGCTGACACGAGGTGAGATGTTCACCTGCATCTCCAATGACCCAAAACGCTCGTCTTCTCCCCCCGCAGGGAGCGACCTCCGACGCCGGATCCGGAGCATCTCGCGGCCCGTCACCCCGACCTGAGTCCGAGGCTGATGTCGAGGTGGGCGACAACCGCTCGCCGGCGCCCACGCAGAGCGTCCTGGACAAGCTGAAGCAGCAGGTGGAGGACGTGACGAACGGCCGACATCGCCAGGTGAGTGAAAGGAGAGGATAAGAGAGAAGCGGAAGATAGGAGATAAGAGGGAGGAGGGAGGAACATAGGAGGAAAGCGGTGAGGGTTGAGCACCGGGGGGGGGGGGATCTTCATGGGCGGCGGAACGGGGAGGGCACCGGGGCACCGTGCCCCCCTTTGATTTTGGCATTTGACTTTAGCCCTATGGGCGTTGCATGAAAAGAATGGGACCAAAAGTCGGCAGTGCCCCCCCCCCCTTAATTGAAGGTGTTCTGCCGCTACTGGGGATCTTCATTGATTTCCGTGAGTCGTTGTGGGAGGTCAATGTAAAATTCAATAGTTTTTGTGTATGACAACAATCATTGTAACGTTAAAAAGTGAGTAGCAATGCTTTGGACGGTGTCGACCACCCATCCCGGTCAAGTAACCGGATTTTGTTCTTCTTCAGTCGAGTGGAGAGGAGGCGGCCGACTACCGGCTCCAGGATGGCATGATGTCTCGCGCGTCGGCCGATCCGTCGTCGCTGCCGCGTCACCGTCTGTCGCCTCAGTCGCTGCTGGCCGCCTCCATGGCCAGCAACCCGCCGTCGCTGGTGCCGCTGCCCGGCCTCGGCGGTCTGGCTGGCTACGGCGCCGCTGCCGGCCGGGCCAGCAGCGCGTCGCCGCCGGCCCGCGAGGCGGCCAGCCCGCCGACCAGCTCGTCGGGCCACTCGCCTCGCCAGCCGGCCGGAAACCACGCCTCCTGGAACTTCGAGGAGCAATTCAAGCAGGTCAGTCGCTGGCGGCCTCTTTGTCGCGATCGAACAGTGGCGAAATGATTGGTTTGATGAATTCGCCGACAAAGGCGGCTGGTTGTCGGGCGCTCAGCGCCGACCACACACACACCTGCAATCACGACACGAGCACTTCACCTGCAGCGCCCCTCCCCTGCCCGGCTCCCACCGGCGGACGCGTTAGCCGGCTATTGTGGTCGGCCGCCGGGAGACGCATGCAATTGCGCTGGCGCCACGGTCCCATTGCCTCCGCGGCAGACAGCAGGTACTGGGAAACTGTCCTCGGTGCGCCATTACCCTGCGCTCCATCGATGCCGCCGCCGCGCCGGAAGCGCCGCGCTGCCAGATGGCTGCCATATCTGGCATTAGATGTTCTCTAGAGTACCTATGTCACGTAAGAGCGTTTTTTTCTGTCCTTACCAAGCGAGTGACAATGGGTGACAGGTCGGGGGATCAAAGGGACAAAGTAACACAAAAGGACCGTAAGTTGATTGGTTTAATCGCACAAGGGATCGGGTCAGTGGGAAATGTGTTTTCCTGAGAGCGTTTTCCGTTACCTACCTGTGCGGGACAGTCAGATACGGTATTAACTACAGTTGAATTTTGGGCTATACGCTTTCTTGGAATCTGTTATCCTTTGGTGCATATTAGAATAAAGGTCAACAACATTACTTTTGCGTACGAAGGGATTTTGCCTTCATCTTAACGCGCTGAACAGGGATGAAATGGGCGCGAAAGTTCATGTCACACTTACTTTACAGCTCGTTATTAGATCTAAAAAGCAAAAAAAGAGGTGAAAGAAAAGGACGTTCATTTGTAGTATTTTTGAGAGAAACAACCACCCCCGAAAAAGCTAGGCAGCTGCCAGCTGGTTTCAATCAAAGGTGAATTATTTGCGCGGATCGTGTTAACCAGCAGCGTTGGGCTAATTTTCGCCGTCGGAGGAGGGGACACCACCTCTGTCGCCTCCCGGGGCGGCCCATAATGGGTCTCTTTGTGGCGCGAACAGTGCGCGCTCTGTGTTGATACAGGAACCCGACACTGGCGTGCCGCGCCACCCGCCCATCTGGTGGCGGCAGCGTCAAATCCGACGCATATGGTCCGGAAATAAAATCGCCATCAATTATGTTTTTACCGGAGCTCTAGAATGGCCACCAGCGGCCCTCGGCGACGCGTCACATGTGTTCAGAGTCTGGCAAACGTGGTTAACGCTAGCAAAAACTGGCGCACGCCTGCGCAGCGTTTGATATCAACCCGGCCAACATGTGTTATCGCCGCGTTTTTCTGCTCGTTTCGAAGGAGGTTTTGTCGTCGCTGCTCTTCGTTGTAACCGGAGCAGGCAGATGAAGGTATGTGGGCTGATTTACGTAGTGGTTATCAAAACAATCGGCCGCCAGCGACCTGCACAGATGTTTTGAGGAGAGCCTGGTCGGGTAATTGTGCCAATGTACTCGCCTCGGGGGCTTAGAACCACGACGTATTTTCTTTGAAGTTGTAGTCCTTTTTGAATCCATCACACCATTCTACTTCCCTCTTGTTGAAATCAGAGAGAGGGGCAAAATTAAATATTTTATTTTGTTGAAAATCCAGCCGTGTATGATGGGCGATTTAAAATAAATCCAGCGCCCAGGACTAGGGGCGCAACACGACAGCCGTTGGGGGTCGAGAGATCACGACAAGGAACAGGGGAGCGGAGGGTGCGACTACGCCCTGTCGGAGACGGCGCGTGTCCCGGACAAGGATTAATCACAATCGGCTGTCGTTCCTTGTTATCGCTGGTTTAGACCAGATCGACGACGGCCTTTGCCGATCAGTCGTGATTAAATGATAGCTGGCGCGGGCCTGCAGTCAGACGGCGATAAATGATGGATGGGCGCAGAAATCAGTGGTTATGAGCGGCGAGCTGCTGGGGTAGGTCAGAATTAGCGACACTTGCTAGCTCTCGGGTATATACGATGAAGATAACGATAGCTGTTTTTCCCCTACCTTTATCTAAGCGAAACACGAGTGAAAGCAAATAAACGCTGCATTGGTCTATAGAGCTTAGTTACTGAAATTGGAAAATTTAATATTCTTGGAAATCATAAATCAATAGTTATTCAATATTATTCAATAATCAGTGATATATTATGATCAATCGTCCAAGCTCCAAAGCAATAAGCCTTTTGTGAGACTGTTTGATAAGGTACGTTCCTGACCGCTTCTGCTCATGTCGCCGGAACTGAGAATTTCCGCGGAGAAGCGGCGCTCGAGCGTGCCAAAAATACGCCGGTACTACAGCATTGTTGTGCCAAGATCGGGGAGCGCCGGTGCCGGCGGCGGGCGCGCGCGCACGCCAGGAATAGTAGGTGATGAATCCGTCGACATTTACTGGCGCGCCGCGCCGCCATGGCCGCCTGAACACCGCCTTTGTCAGACGGAAACATTCCCAGTCGGGGCAGACGAGCGATCGGCGGCGGCCGGGCGATGGAGAGACGTGAACCGCCTTATCTCTGAGAGACGACCGGGAGAGTTGGAGAGCGGGAGGGACCACACACCGGCGACTGAGCTGAATGTGTTCATTGGTCGGAGTCTTTAAAAGGCTTACAGCAAAACGCTAACTTTAGTACTTTCTAATCACTCAGTATATTTTTTTCTTTTGAGATCTCAATGTATAAAATCACTTACGCTTGCCTCTGCGTCTCTTTTCAGCACTTCTCTCGTCGTCGAATGGGTCACCGATCCTTTCCACCTGCTCTTCTTCTTGTTCCTCTTCTTCCGCCTTTTCCTCTCACGCTCTCTCCGTGTTCCTGTTCTGGGGTGGTTCTGAGGCGTGTTTTCCCAGTCCCTGTGCGATGAATGGTGGTTGGACCGTGTTCCACGCCCAACGAATTATCATACGCAGACCTGATTAAGATTCGTGATTGCCGCCGGGAGTAAGGGACCACTAATTTATAGCTCATAAAGATCGACGCTCGGGCCATTCTCACAGGTTTCGACGGGCGCGACACGCACCGTTCCATCGGTAATGGCATGGCCGCGGTGCCCTGTGTGCGCTATGACCTGCATCGCCGACAGCCGACGCCCAAATCCCCGATCTCTGGCTTTGTTTTCGTGGGCCGGCCGGCGCGCCAGTACGACCCATTGTTTCTCCTCGGAGCCCGGGCGCCGAGTCAGTCGGCCGGCGGGGACATTCCCTGTCGCGCCGCGGACCCGAGGACGCCCATGTGCCGTCCTCCGGGCAAACACCCCGCGACACGGCCTTGTCCGCACAATGGGAATTAATTGTCCCGCCGGCGTCTCGACTCGGGAGGTCTGTGAGCCGAGAACGGATCCCGGCGCCCGCCCAGAGCCACAACAAAATCCTCACGTCCGCGCGCCGGCCGACTGCCCGCTCGGCCATCAGATATTCAGGTGACTGCAGTCGAGTGGACGCTGGACGGTCGGTGGGCGGACAACACCCTCAAATCAAACGGTGCGCGCCCGGCGGTCGGCGGCGGGGCTACTTACGACGGTGGGGCGGGCGGTGGGTCGGACTGGTGGTGTGCAGTTGACACACGGTCCCTTCCTCTCGTCTTACCTTTCCCACTCATCCGAATGTCCTCCTCGCTGTTTCATATTGACACCGCTGCCGGCCGGATATCACGAGAGAAGAGGGCAAGGGAATAATAGTGCGACTGCGAAAGAGTGTGCAGGATAGGTCGCGAAAATATTATTACAGATTGGATTAGGTTTAAATTGGAAATTATATGAATGGCATATGAATGGCTTATGCGTTTGAGCTTGCTTTGTAATGCCTTAGTATTTTAGAAGTGTGCAAAGCATAAATGAAAATTGATTAATTTTCTTGGTTTGTTTTCAGAATTTTTCAACATAGCTCAGGTAGTGCTTTGTTCATATTTTGGGTTCCATAAAAACTGATTGTCTGGTTAGCGTCATATGCCTCGTTGTAGTCTCCCGATTGGAGCCGTTATTCGGTAGCTTCTTGTGAGTAGCTGCAGTCTCTATATTGCAGCCATTATAAAAATGTGACCCAGTCCAGGCGACAGCTTTCCATGAGGTGCCGTTTATTTCTGGACTCAAAATAAAGCAGTAACCAGTCGCAAGCCATCGGTATTTCACTTCACCACATAGTTATGCGGCCAGCTATCTAGCATGCATACCTACGTTAGCAAGATTTTACAAAAACTTCTCGGAAAAAAAATTTGGTCAGTACCATTGATCATCGCCATTGCTTCATTCTAACCAATCAACAGCCATCCAATGTTTTCCACTAAGCCATGCAGCCAAGCTCCATGAATCCGCTTCCTATCGTCCAGGCCCGCCAAACTGCAACCGAACACCAACCGCTCAATCTTCCCTCCGCCCGCTCCCAGGGTACTGGGTCCGGGGCGGCTGAGAATCGCCTCCCAAACACGTCCGTCCAACGGGGTACGATTACCCACGGACCTGTTTATTTGTCTTACCGGTCCAATCTGTCACCGGTGTGCGCGCCCTGCCCGGTGGGTGCGGCATTCACAGGCAAGGGCAGCTCGGCAGGACGGGAAGACATATGGGACCAGGGAGAAGGACGCAGGACGGGACAAGGGATGGATGTATGGGACGCAGAGCAAGAGACGGGATGGGACAAGGACCAGGGTGCAGGACCGTGGCACGGGATAGGAATAGGACGGGACTTGCGGGGGACGGGACTGGAGACAGGATGGGACGAAACAGCACACACTAAGGGGCGGGACCCGGGACCGGTCACGGTTCGGGATAACATGGGACACGGGACGGGGCACGGGACCGGGACACGTGTCAGAGGACCGGGACACGTCTAATAGCGCGACGCTCTTAGAGGAGAGAGCCAGGAGAGTACCCCTCCCCATCCCACCGCTACCCGCCCAGTATTGAGCGCCGGTCGCTGACGAATGGTGGCTGCATTCTGTAATTATCCACTTGGGATCCATCACTGGTGGCCATTACGGAAAGCAGCGGCCAGCGGCCTATGGATGATGGATGCACATCAACTCGAACCACGGGATGGACACGGCGCATGTCTAATCTGGGAGAACAGAACGTCAATAGGGTGAAATGAGTGATGTCAGGAAATACTTGGCGGCGACCGTTTGATACTGTTTTCCCGCTTTCGTTCCAGCTTTACGAAATCGACGAAAATCCGAAGCGGAAGGAGTTTCTGGACGACTTGTTCCGGTTCATGCAGGAGAGAGGTGAGCTATCACGGAAACACCAGCGTCAAATGTGACTGCATCGTCAAAGGATACCAGATTTCGGCGGGTGACTCTCTCATTTCTCACACCGTGAGGCTTGACGAAGGACAACCGTCCCTCTTCTACCAGCCGAGGATTGAACACGGAACGTGACTCCGAACCGGGACTAGTCAAACACAGCGTCACTGTCTCACCAGATGTGTGCTATGGCCCGCGCCGGAAGGGACGGAATCATTATCGGTGACACTCGCTCTCTATCACCCATCGTGCCAGAAACGTTAAAGCGTCTCTGACCTTTTACACTATACTATAGGCAGTGATACACATATACAACATTTGGAAAATTAAGTAGCTTTAAACTTAATGAAAAAATAGAGTTTTCTCGCAATTGTAGTTCTGCCGGCAAAATTTGATTATATTCTCGTTCCTGATATTAAAAAAAAGTTTGCTGGAAGCAATAGGTCAATAATTATCACTTCCTTCTTCCTTGGGAAGATTTCAGTCTGAAAGCTTCTTTACGGTAACCAGTAACTGCACTGTGTAGGTATATATTGATAGAGACAAGTAGAAAAACACGGAACAAATAGTGCATGGACGCGTTTCGATTATTAAATCTTCATCAGCATGACATAATCACAGAGAAAACAAGATATAGCACACAAACATGCTATCATTTGCTATCATTTTTCGTGGATATTCTCCTACAGGTGGATTAGTAGTGAATATGTCATATGCGTGAATTTTTAAATCAAGACGATTGCACTGTGACGAGCTCGAATGTTTGTGTGCTATATCTTGTTTTCTCTGTGATTATGTCATGCTGATGAAGATTTAATAATCGAAACGCGTCCATGCACTATTTGTTCCGTGTTTTTCTACTGTGTAGGTATGTAAATGGTTATCCACAAAGTCACGCGGGGTCAGCTGCCGGCAGTCGGCAGTGGTCCATCACTCTACGCTCCCGGACCATGTTCAACTTGCCACGTTCCTCAGCTGTTCCGACGGTTGTCGAGACGAACCGTTCGAAACTGCCACGGCCAGTGGGAAGGGTAACCACCACACAGGGTACTTGTCTGGGCGCCTGCCATTCCTCTGACGTTAGAGACGAGTGTGTGACCTGCTGGAGCCCTGCGGTTTGCGACGGTCTCCGCTACCTTCGTGCCGGTGTTGGTGTACATACGACCGGGATCAGCGGTCCTTTCGTCAATCGGGACATACAACGGCCGCGGCCCTCGTCAGTCGCGCCTCATGTATAATCTCGCGCTTATCGTCGCTCGGGTGTCGGGCGCAATAAACAAACACCGACCGGAAGAGGCAGGGCGCGGGTCGCGCCGGGTGGCGGGGGTGTCGGCACCGTCGGAGAGAGACGGAGGGAGGGGAGACGACGGTCGTCTAGAGCGACGACCGGCAGCTGGCGGCGGCCGGCCGGCCGACGGGGCCAGGGATCGAGTTCATCCGGTCCGGCTCTGCACCCGGGCTCTGCCCGAGATCGGAGGGGACGCTATGGACTCGATCGGCCGTCACTGGACGCCAGACGTCGGCTCCGACACGGCGGTGAGATGGTGGAGTTCTTTCCCCTCACCCCACCTCATCAGCCGGCCCAGTTCCACTCTGAGCGGACCAGGTGGCCCTTCCCCTCCCCTCTCCGAGCGTCGGAGGCGACGCCGGCCAGCGTCGAAATGTCCAAGTCGACGAAAACAATGTGGGGAGCGCGCCCACGCGTCGAGGCCGACGCAGCTGCCGCTGAGTGGCCTGTCCGAAGTCGGACGACGCGGCGGAGAGGTAGGGTAACGAACGAGTGCCAGAGGGGCCGCCCGGTGACACGGAAATTAACACCCGGTGGACTCAGAGGTCAGCAGTACTTAGACTGCTGGACTCTGACACTCTGGGACTGAGAATACTGTATCAAAGGATATTATTTCTAGTTATATAGAATATTACTTTGCATCATAGTATGAAACACTGTCGTCTTATCGTCTTGGACACATTTTGGACGATGACAGCTAACGGCTGTCTCCCAACGGTCTACAGCCTTATCAAAACAACTGTGATACTCGATTGAGTAATACGATATACTTCAGGTTTTCAAAAGCAGTCAGCTGAGGACATAGCTCGAGTCCTCCCAGTTGATCCTTTTGTTTGTGCTTCTTCCAAATCTATTATTTCCGGACACCCACTTGTCCTAATCTTTGTGATTACGTGCCTAAATCTTGTTTGGTGGAAATCGTATTGTTCATCACATTTCACATGCTGCGTTAACAGGTGTATTCTATGCTGCCTCTTCGTATACCTGTTGTCTCGAACTATTGTGTGTGCTATGCTCCATCAGCGATAAACGGTCGAATTTCTTCCACGTGACCCGACCCGCTTTTATAGTAACACGGATGCTTTTATAACAAAATAATTTGATATATTGACGGGACAGAAGTTAACGCACCATCGAGCGTCGATCTCACATACCTTTGCACTCTTTCCTTCCTCTTCATGATGACGTCACGCTCTCGGTACCGCTCTCGGTGGTCGCCTTTGTCTCTGTCTCTGACGACCATCAGAGTTCTCCGTCTTCGAACGGCCCTCCTGTGACGAACGGGTCACGGCAGGGCTCGATAAGTGACGAGCTCCATAAAACCATAGTGCGCCCTGCCCGCGCGCGTTCGGGGAGCAGACAACACAAAAACATGTCGTTTGACTTTGTCCACCCCTCGCTGATGAACAACAGTGGAGTCGTGTGACAGAGAAGTGGGATTTTATAGGTCAGTCTACGCTTTACGGAGACTCAAACAGTCTAGCCTAATTGATGAATTAGTGGAAAGCTGCCATTAAAATTGACTGAGATTTTCGTCCCACGACTTAAAGTGAAGGGTCATCCTAAACCAAAGCGATGATATTAGGCTTCATTGTCATGCCAAATGTTCAAGCCTCCTTTTGTTTAGGCATGCCTTTTGAGCGAAACACAAAACTAATTCATGCGAAAGTGATGGTGTTTTCAGGGACAACTATTGTCGTATGAGCCGCAAAATCATTTGAGCATTACGAAATGGTATCTTTTAACTGCAACAGCATAGGCAAATTTTCTTCACCGTCGCCCGATCCACTCTTATTGACGTCCTGATAATATACAGAGGAACTGTTTCTTACCCCAGTGCAATACCACAGCGCTTACAGAGAAATATCGGGGTAATACCAGAGGGCAGAGCGATACCGTGGTTAAACCAGAGGTAATTTCAGCTCTTAGATGATGCACATACCGCGAACGGTAACACTACACCGACCTAGCACTAAAAGCGCTCTGAGTTTACAGCCAATCGGCCGATGTGCCGTTCGAGTTCCGAGTGGTAATTCTAATTTAGTGCATAGTTTATAGCGCAGGGGAGCGTAAAACTGGCCAAATGTGAGCTCCACTGACCAGGAACAATGTGTTTTTGTTCAGATCGTGTATCAAAGTGCTCGTATTCCGTGTTCATATGCAAAGAACAAGACCATATAATTCTCACTTTTAGGAAGTGCAAAGGGGTTCAGTGTAAGGTAAGCCTTACGTCGCGAAATAACTCGTTATATAACTCGAAAATTGCTGCGTATGGGCTATGAAGAAGTCATCAAATGTTAGTGCCTGAATAAAACGCTCTGCATTTGCTGACCCGTAACAGGCATGCACGCTTCCTGGACATAAACAGGGCACACTTTTACATTCTCGCGGATATCCATTGCAGGCTCAGTTGATAACGCGGTGGCGTTTTTCCACTTGCAAGTGATAACTGTGCACATTTTCACAGCTTCACAACATTTCCATGTCTGGCGCACACTACCGTAGTTCCTAGGCCTCTGTCATTTCATTTCCACCGGATGTCTCTATTAGTGGTGTGTTGTATGGTTCAGCCACGGCCGAATTCTCGTGGGAGGCATGTCTGGAGTACCCAGAACGGGCCCCTCCCAAATGGACTCGTTTGTTCTGCAGGTGCGCGTATGGATGGCACCCAACAGGAAACAGTAACAGGCACTATCTAACACATGACTGGTGCCAACGCAGCGCTACAAACAGTTACAATGGCAACATTTATTACGTGGCAACGACGTCTTCACGCCAGTTTGGTTAGCCACCTCGAACAGCGCTTTACTTATGTCATTTGCCTGTAATGTTGAACTATAGTTAGACACGGCGTTAGGGTGGAAGTCAGTAATGAGCTATAACAGTAAGCTCCACTGCCCCGAGCGCTTCAAATCCGGATGTGTTATGCTCCAATGCTATCTCACTCGCACCGGTGCTAATTATTTCGCACGTCACCCGTTCTCTACTTTGACTCCCCCATCCACATGTCTGCATTTAGTGACCTGTAACAAACATGCAAGCCTCCTGGACCTCTACCTTACCCATACCGTTCTGACGAGTCCCTGCACCACTTGCTGTCCCGCTTTCCTTTGGAGCTCTGCCACGTCTTGTTGCACTGTGAGCTGGGGCGAACCTGGCTTGTGACATACCCCCAGCGCACCCAATCAACCCCTGAGAGGCGCCATGATTGCCACATAAACCTCCGGGCCGGTTATAAAGTGACCCACCTGCGCGCTTTAATGCCGTCACTACTGTTCAGCGCTGCTCTGCGGGCGCAGGGAATCGATACTTTTTGTCGCTCTCGTCCCCCAGACCCCAGCTCGGGTCATCGAGTCGAGAAAGTTCACCTCTCGTATACCTCCCAAGGAACATCACCAAACCGCGGCTTGCGACCTACACCTCACCACCACCCAGAGCTGGACCTCATACCGAGTCCCCACCGGCCGCACCCAATCAACGGTGTCTATTTTTGGCGATAAATTAGCACGGAAGGAGCGTCGGCGGCGGCTGGCTCCCTGGTGGGCGGATCGGTGGTGGAATATCAAATACCCTCAGAGCGGGCGGGCTGACCGGGCGGCCGTCTGCCGCCCCGGACAGTGGACATTTGTCTGAGGAGCCGCGCAGGTGGAGAGCCCGGCACCCAACTCAGCTGCCGAACGGCGTTATTGATACAGTCGTTATATGACACTGAAGACAGCGTTATGAAGCTGCATTTGCATTTACAGATGTCGCTTAACTAATCCCTTTAGGACGCTATATTTATAATGTTTTTCAGCTGAGTTAAATGTAGATGAGTGATATATGCGCCAGCGTTAGAGCTCGGTTGCGCACGCTCCACATGATTCCAGGGAAGCTGCGAATTCCCTGCGCCTTTCATCCGTAAAAACTGCGAGTTTTTGCTGTCGCGGAGACGAAGTACCCGCTCCCCTCAAAGGGCGTCCCCGCCGCCGTCCGGGGGCGACCAGTATCGATCGTGTTCGGCCTGTTTGGAAACACCTATAAAATTCGCAAAAACACGCATCGCATCCGTGCTTGGTGACGCGCAAAAACAGCCGCCAAAAAAGCTCGTAACGACGGCTGCCGTCGCCAAGATGCGGCGATGGGTGGGGATGGTTGAGCGCTAAGTCTTATGCGCGGAGAATTTACTCCCCGTTGAAGCAATTGGGCTCGGCCAACTGAAGTGCTTCGTTGAATGCTGGAGAATGACATAACGGTCTTCTTCTTTTCGCAGGGACCCCGATCAACCGCCTACCGATCATGGCTAAGCAAGTCCTCGATATGTATGAACTATACAACCTCGTAGTGGCACAAGGAGGGCTCGTTCAAGTCATCAACAAGAAACTATGGCAGGAGATCATCAAAGGCCTCAAGCTGCCCTCCTCCATCACATCAGCTGCTTTCACTCTCCGCACACAGTAAGTGGACATTTGCTCAGGGTTCCTTCATATAGTATTTGAAATGTTGGTGATCCTGTCTGCTATTTCTTATTATATTTTACGAGTCTATTTTACGAGAGAGGCTCGTACGAGCGTTTATTACATACAATGGATGTAGACTTAGGAGTTAAATGACGAAACAACAAAGTTCAATTAAATGTCAGATGACATAAAATCGTTATTACTAGATATTTCTCGTCAGTGCCACTTCCATCAACATTTGAGGCGTCCACTAATATGTGGATGTCTAGCTGCATGCTATACGCCAGTCCATTTCATACTTGCATGAGCAAACGGAATCAGTTGCGTTCTTTACTCGCTATGATAGATCAGGGAAGACCCTGCACTATTTTATTGTCGTGACGAGATCTTTAACCTGGATTCCACTGAACAAATCGGCCTCTAAACGACGTCTAATTAAAGAGGCCGAATCACGCGCTGTATGAGGGTGCCCGACCTGGTCGAGGTATACCGTGCCTTCCACTCCCAGCAATCGGCCATCAATATTCACAGCATGATTAATTCGGGCAATTATCACATTATTTGGCAAGATGGAATAAAGATCGGGCACTTAGCTTGAAATATGGTGGTTGTTAATGGCGCCAGATTACGCAACACGTGGCCATAATATCCTCCAAGCACAATAGTTATTCGATATAACCCGGTGCCCAGCCTATTAGCAGGCGGGTCAACGAGGTGAGCGCTCTATCTCAATCTGGTGAGATCATCATTAGTTTAACCAATCACGACTGCATGGTGGATGACGTCAGTGGTGGGCCTTCGACTCGTCTCGTGTGCTATGGGACGATGAACAGTGCTATTGAATGAAAAATGAACTGCTAAAGTACAATATCGAAAGTCGGAACAGTGACATGAAAGTGGGGCGTGAATAATCGAGCCTTACAATAGCACATGTGATGTTTAAAAGCAGAAAATATCAATAAATGGGTTGTACAAAAGAGGCGAAGACAGTACTCAAAGTTGAAAAAACTGCACGCAGACGTACAGGTAAACATGCACATATCCTAAGTAGGTGCTGTTTCTCGTATTAAAATGTTAAAAAAAAAATAAACAAGTCCAGTTTCACGGTCATGCGTTTTCTGCTGTACTTTATGCTTTTCTCCAATTAAGCACAAAATAAACGAAATAAATAAAATATAAAAAGCCAGTTTGCCTGCACAAAATATTTCATTTGATAGCAATGTGTATTTTAAGTTAGTGTAACGTAACCATGTAACAATGTCGTAGAAAAGCGTGGAGGAGGAATGATAATTTCTCGGTAAGATACATGCTAGCCTCCCGATTATGGTCAAAGTGTGTTTCACGTACCTAACTTCATCTCCTGTTTTCTATTATCCTCTCAAAGAAAATTTGCATACCGACTTCCGCTGTGCTGCTGTGGTCGACGCGGGTATAGTCCATAATCCATTGCCGTTCGGCCCTCAGCCATCCCTGAGGCGCCGGTGGCGCCCACCTTCCTCAATCCGCCCTCACCGGCGGCCCCACTGCTCAGTCCGTCTGCCCGTGTCATTATCGAACTCGGACAAAAAGCGGCGCACGCTGCGCCGTGATCGTCTCACCTCTCCAATATGGCGGCCGGCAGCTTCCATCGCAGCCGCCACTCGCCGCCATTAAAAGATGCATCGGGGATAAAAGCCGGCATAGCCTGCAATTAGATAAATATTAACATTCTAATTTCTCCTAATGACAGGGTGGCCGTGGATTGGCCGCAATGTTCTGTGGCCTTATGGTCGGAGATTCTGCGGAACGGTTATCTGCGCCCGACCGGACGCCTGATTACAGAGAGCATCATTGAATGTAAATGAACGGCTTATCGAGATAGAGAAAAGCACGCTCTCGGCGGCTCGCGTGCTCGCTGATCAGATCTGGCACGCCGGTACCTGATATCGTTCACTGAGCGAGAGAGAATGGGCCTGCTGCCCTTTCCTATAGGTAGGTATGGCATTGGAGGGGAGTGGCTATTGAACCGGGCATATATCACACGACTGGTGTTGTGTAATGGATATTGGGTATGGCAATGCCAATAGAGACGGCGAGCGGACGAGGCTCTTGATACGGACTATTAAAACGGTACACGAAATCAGTTGTGAATGCGTCACAGTATGATCTACACTAGCACTGTTACTCATTGATCTGTTGATTATTTGCAGCTTTTCAGTGAAATTTGGTCAGCGCCCGATGCCGCATTCAAATTAGACCCTGCAGCATTGAATTTTCTCTCGGAAGCTCAACTCCCAAAACTACATAATTTCCCAGGATCCAGCAACCCTAGATACCGTTTAGCGCACGCCATGCTTCTGGGACCCGAGGACCCGCACCGATGGGGGCCCGCCGGCCGCCGGTCGCGGCTGCACAGTCCGACAAACAATAGTGGTCCGGGTGCCATTGGCGCCGCACGGCGCGGCTCACTGGCCTTGGGCGCCGCTTCTCGGATTTCATATCAATAAAACGCGGCCGGCACCGGCACCGCGATGATGCGCGTCACGTCAGCCAGGCAGGCGCGGCTGGCTGCAGGGGCCGCGGGCTGAGCCAGCTCGGTGCTTAGAAAGCTCATAGCTGGACCCAGCTCGGCAGGCGCGGCTGGCTGCAGGGGCCGCGGGCTGGGCCAGCTCGGTGCTTAGAAAGCTCAGAGCTCACAGAGCTGGACCCAGCTCGACAGGCGCGGCTGCAGGGGCCGCGGGCTGAGCCAGCTCGGGGCTTAGTAAGCTCAGAGCTGGACCCAGCTCAGCAGGCGCGGCTGCGGGGGCCGCAGGCTGGGCCAGCTCGGGGCTTAGTAAGCTCAGAGCTGGATCCAGCTCAGCAGACGCGGCTGTGGGGGTCGTGGGCTGAGCCAGCTCGGGCTCAGCCAGCTTTGAGCTCTGTATGCTCGAAGCTCGATAATGATAAGTTTGGAGCTGGATTAGCTCGGGGCTCGGCAGCTTGACGTTGCGTCGGCGGGCTCCAAGTCAGACGGAGCATTGCCGGTCTTGCGTGCCAAGATGCAGGAAGACGACAAAATTACCATCAATACCTTGTGACTCAGGCTGCAGTATGTTTTATCAATGGCGGCTACTAAATCCAAAACAGCGGATGCTTCCGATGTGCTGACAAAATTCGGGGGTAGACGTGGTTAGCTTACATATTTGCATGCTACATTTCCTGGACCTTGTTTTGCTTGATTAAAGTTGCAAAAAGACGGATACGGGGAGATATATAGATGCAGTGAACTCTCCATTTAGTCGGCAAGAGAGCATTCCTAGGTTGGTAATGAATAGAAACGGCTAATGAGATTGCCTTTGTAACATTAGAATGCAATTGCTGGAATGGCGCCGGCTTTTATAGCTCATATCGTCTGGATCAGACAGATCCTTTGCGAATGGGCTCTGAACATGAACACACATACGTCAGCGAACAATCCCAGCAAGGTCACTGGTCAGATAGCTCATCCAGGATGTTCTATCTCTGTTCGAACTACGAAACCAACAACCCGAAATTAGCATCGTCAGAATCACATGTGAACAAACGGACACAACCTGGTTGCCACAAAACGCTAATGCATACATGGATGTAGCCCCTTATGGCCGCTGAGTGCCTCACTTCCGTGCCCACTAACTCGGCTGTCGGTGTTTCACATTAACCGTACCACTTACTGTTTGCTCTGTTTCCAGGTACATGAAGTACCTGTACCCGTATGAGTGTCACAAGCAGGGCCTGAGCAGCCCCTCGGAGCTTCAGACGGCCATCGACGGCAACAAACGCGAGGGTCGCCGCAGCACATACAGCAACAGTCCCTACGCCGAGCTGATGCAGCGGTCGCCCATGGTCGGCGGGTAAGTACCTAAATTAGCACGATATAATGCATTTTGTGCGTTTAAAAAGTGAAACGTGGGCGCTCCAACATTTCAAGATAAAACGTAATGAACTGGAGTGCGTACATACTGTTTTAGACGGATTAGTGGAAGGCTTAGAGTAATTGCGTTGTGTGTGGATACTTCAAAAGAGGGATTTCCCTGATGGGTGCTTACTTAGTTCTCAGAATACCACAGGTGGTTCTACTGTCAGAACGACGCTTGGTGCTGTTTCTGAAAGTTCACGTGTCTCCATTTCAGTCCGATGGCTCCGTCGTTCGGTCTCGGTAACGGGATGCCGATGCCGACATCGCTGCACCAGCAGGGTCTGTCTCCGCTGTCACTGGTCACCAGCCGGCCGGCCGCCCCCGGATCCAACGGGCCCGCCGGACACCCCATGCCGCCCAGTGAGTATCCCGGATCCGAAGGACCCGCCGGACACCCCATGCCGCCCAGTGAGTACCCGGGATCCAAAGGACACGCCGTATGTACACCCCACGCTGCTCCGTTTGGTTTTAATGGACCTACCGGATCAATTTCTGGATCCTTGTCCGAACTCAACGGACCCAACGGACACCTCATGCCGCTGTACGATCAGTCATCAATGGTTCCCACTGCCCAGTAGCCGTGGACGTCACTGGCGGATCCAGACTTGCGTTTTGGGGGGGGCCAACTCGTGCAAGGAGCCAAACCTAGGGTACCCCCAAATCCTGTTTTCTCATCGGATTTAGGCCACTTATTTTTCGTCACAGCCCTGAAACGATAATTTTTTTTTAAACTAAAAAAAAAATAGAGAGAGAAATGGTAGCCCACTCAACCCGTGCCTTAATATTACTTTGAAAACACTTCAAATTGCTTTTGTCGACCACCGCTCCGGGTCGGTGCTTGGCGCAGCCTTCGCGGGCTGGGAGGTGTCGGTTGAACCTCTCTGCCGTTCGGCCCCTGATCAAGCTAGAGCTCGCGGAAAAAACGAGTGTGTTGCCTGGCAGTGACGAGAGGAAGCCGATGATACCCGATTTTAAGGTCCTTGGTCATTGGTTGACCTTCCAGGGCGGTGTTTCACGGTCGCGCTGCCAGCCGCTGTCAGTGCATTCCGCGAGCTAAGGTCAACCTTCGGTAGTGTTGTAGGTATAGGCTAGTTGATGTCTCCATGGAAACCAAAAGTGCCAACAGCGCTGGCAGCGTGCCGTGAAACACCGCCCAGGTCAGGTCACAGACCCAAAAGACGGGAAAATCAGGGCCTGTCAGAACCTCCTAAAGTAAGGCTGTAATAGATTTTTTTGTGCTGATCACGAATTTCATGTTAGTTTGGATCATAGATGATGTCTTCATGCCTTTAGGCCATGTCGGGGCAGGCCAGGTCAGGTCAACCAGGTCAACCAGTACTTATGGGCGTCCGTGTAGCAGGTGTCCGACTACCACTGGCAGCTACGTAACATGATACGAAGGCATCAAAACTACTTCGTAAATGTTCAAATGGTTGCTAAATGCTAAATTCAAAATCAGCTAAACGAAACTATCCTAGAAACATGTTAAACTCGGAAAAGTGCACCGAGGTCATCAAAGGTCAATGACCTGACTTGACCCTAAGGTGACATTGACACCTACCACAATGGTTGGGACCAACATCATTTCACATGTTTGAGCGTTTTAAACCACGAAAAGACTGTAAACGAGCGGATAATGTGAGCCGACATACGCGGAATCGCGATTCCGGCCAAACATGGCCTCAAACATGGCCAAACATATGGTGCGTTCGGAGAGGCACATTCCACGTGGAATCCGTGGAATACTCCATGCGCGCGGAACATTCCCGGAGATTGGCCGTTCAGAGAGATACGCCTCCGAACGCGGCACGGGGAATATTCCAGGGGACGGTGAATATTCCATGCTCTCCGAACGCACGGATAGTCTCGAGAAATAGGCCACAGGTCAAAGGTCACTTGGGTCAGGGTCATGAAATTTTCAGACTTTGTCAACATGAGGGTGCTAAAGTTTCGTCGCGATCGGATTCATGATAACTTACACGATAACTTCACGCGTCGATCGAGAGGTAAAGTATGCAATAAGAACTTCTTGGGTGAAGACGAGACCAACACTCAAGCTCACATATTTTTAATGATACGGTAGTTTCTACCTACTACGCTACTTTCTCACATTCATATTTCTTAAGTGTTTTTGGGGGCCAAAATACATGTTGCCCCCTTTCAGGCTTGGGGGCATGACCCCGTGGCCCCCCTGGATCCGCTAGGCCGAAACTAACTAGGCCGTTTTCAAACGGTCTGATATTTCAGGTCATGGTTTGCAAACGGCCGGTGTTTTCAGGCTGTTTCATATGCCCTGACTGGGCCAGGCCGTTTGCAAACGGACAATTTTATACGGCCTGTAACAAATGCACTCAGATGGTGAAATATGTATATTCATATTTCACCATCTGTCGCAGCATCAAATGCTGATGTGGTGCACTCAAAAGCCGGAATTGGTCCTTGGATGCCGTAAGGACCCTTTTAAGAAATAAGTGGCCCGACTGACCCCTTAGAGATTGGCCTGAGCTCTGACCGAAATAAGTCTTTTACCTTTTCACGGGAAGGGACAAAAAGGTCCCTGATATGCTTCTTGTACAATTACCAAACAAAACAAGCTTTTCAACGCCAACTCAGTGAGTGTTCCTAAAAAAATTATTGCGCATATTCCGTGAATGAAAAATTGCCGGGTCATGTCAGGTCAGGCTGCCAGAGCAAGTTTGTGAACTTGACAGTTCAATCGATATGTATGCAATAAGACTTCTCGGGTGACGACAAGACATGACGACACTTTATGAAGGAAGCTAGTAAACCCGGTGGTTTCTCCATAGGCACGGGAACCGGGGCAGTGGGGACAGCTTGCCCACCCCCCAACTATGGGGCCGTGGGGGCGGTGCCCCCACAACTTTCAGACGGAATACCCCATTTTTTGAAAATGTTTTCTTTTTTTGTTGAAAAAAGCCAAGGGATGAAAAATAAGCGGCCTAAAACCACCGTTGAGAAAACTATATTTGGGGAGACCCTAGGTTGATCTCTATTATGGTGTGCCCCCCCCCCAGTCTGAAAGTAGTTCCCGCACCCCTGAGTTTCTCTACGCTATTGAATCACGCCGGTGATTCTAACTTTTAGGTATCTACTACGCAACCTTCTCACATTAATTTTTCTTCAAGCGTTTTGGGAGGGGGGCCAAAAGATATGTTGGCCCCCCTTTCAGGCTTTTGGGGGGCCATGGCCCCGGTGGCCCCCTCCCTGAATCCACCAGTGGGGGGCGGTGCCACCACAACTTTCAGACGGAATACCGCCCTTTTTGCAAATGTTTTCTTTTTTGTTGAAAAAGCCAAGAGATGAAAAATAAGTGGCCTAAAACCGGTGAGAAACTAGATTTGGGGGGACCCTAGGTTGATCTCTATTATGGCGTGCCCCCCCCCCCCCAGTCTGAAAGTAGTTCCCGCACCCCTGACTTTCTCTACGCTATTGAATCACGCTGCTGATTCTAGTAGGTATCTACTACGCAACCATCTCACATTAATTTTTCTTCAAGCGTTTTGGGGGGGGCCAAAAGATATGTTGGCCCCCCCTTTCAGGCTTTTGGGGGGGGCCATGGCCCCGGTGGCCCCCCCCTGGATCCGCCAGTGGTGGACGTAATAATACACCCCTGTGTGGCGTTCTAGACCACCCACCCTGCGGGGTCACCCGCCCCAGGCGCCTCTTCCCACAACGTCCGAGCGGTCAATCGTCCGACATCGTTGTGTATGTAAATGCTGACCAAAACGCCTCCGCACACACAAAAATGCCTCCGATCCCGAAACCTGTGGGCGATTTGCGACTAATAGCCGCCTTAAATAACCTACATCCGTGGGGTTGGAGTGCTGGCATGCGCCCGCTTTTTTCGTAATCGATCTGGTTTCCATCGTACGTCTATGCGTGTAATTATGGCGTCAATAGTCTGGGTGAGTGAAGGAGACACGGGCCGGCCACCGCTGGCCCCCGGCCACCGAAAAACAAAGGCTGTGGCTTGTTTGCGCCTGGCCTGCGGTCGCCGGGGCAGGCCCGTTTAAAACATCGTTACCACAGTAGTTGACCGGGACGCGGGAGATCCACGACAGCCTTAGGGCGATATCGAACATAAATGGGTCGAAGATGGATTTGGAATTGGGATGGTTATTGGTTATGCTTATTAGGCTAAATAAACGGTTCTTATAATGTGTTTTGATAGTGAAGCATTTAAGAAAATGGGGTGCTTCATGTTGGTAAAACTTTATTTCGACTTGCTCACTAAAGACGCTCAAATTTATCATGTCATCCGTGGAACTGCTTACGCAGCTTCTGGAGTTTTGTTTTTTTATAAAAGTCAGAAGCCATCCTTTGAAATTTTAACGCATCAATCTATTGTAATTTTTGCTTCCGATGGGTCGATGATACCTTTCGGCCTTATAAGGCCTTATAAGGCCTTCAAAGTGTGATTACACTTGCGTGAATTGTAATATATTATGTTAACCCTCGCCGGCCGAGGGGGGGGGGCGGGTGCCGCCCCCCCCCCATAGGGTTTTTTCGCGATAGCTCCGAACACGCTGGCGATAGAGAGCTGAAACCTGGCATACCTGACCTTTGATCCAAGCCGAATCTTTTGACACCAACCGCATTTTTGGGTCAGGTCAGGTCACTGACCTATGACGTCATAAGTGAACCTCTGCACGGTCTTCAGATGTCGCAACTTCGCAACGCCCTCACTGCCAGAGGAGAGGTCACAGGGAAATGAAACTTGCAGGATCTAGTATCCATTATGAGTCCCACAACTTGTATATCTCGGATTTTTCCTAAAGGTCATATGAGGTCAGGTCATTTTCGTGACCTCACCATTATAAGTCAATGGGGAAAAATGAAAACTGCTATTCTGGCGCCGGGAACGATCTCCAACTATCTCAAGCACACAGAATCGTGATTTGATGCACTCCTTGCAAGGTTAGATGCGTCACTTTTGCAATGTTGACCTTGCGTGACGTCATTTATGACGTCATCAAGGTCATATTAGTTTTTCGTCAATAACTCTTGATCAAATTGAGCTAGCGAGTCGGGAAAGCCACCAATGGACTCAGGAAGACCTGCCGAATCGAATGATATGCGACATGACCTCTTTCGACCAACTTCGTGACCTGGGGGTGCTGACCTGACCTTGACCTGAGGTCAACACCCCAAGTTGACCTGACCCGGACGAAAAGTATATCATTCGACGCGCCTGAGCGAGACAAACACGATGCTGCCAAAATCGGCGCTCTGCGACCGTTTTTTGCGAAGTTATTTACCAAAAACTGAACCGTACCTTGGGGCACTTGACCTGACCTCAGAGGTCACCGGTTGACCTAGGACCTTAAAATCGGGTACCAATCTCTGCGTCTCGTAACGGCGCACACGCTCGTTTTTTCCGCGACGCGCTAGCTCCACCAGGGGCGAAACGGCGAGGGGGGGTCGTACCCGCCCCCCCCCCCGGCCGGCGCGTATGTAGAAAACCAATAGGTCCGGCGAGGGTTAAATTACGAGCAAATTGGTTTCCCGGGACTGCATTACCCCGCACCACTGGTATTCCGAGTCCGCCTGCCGCACCTGCGTGAGGGCTCGTCGTTCCGTGACATCGGCTCATATCGGATGACGTCGGGTCACGTTCGGTGACATCGTTCTCGTCGTGCTGCGCTCTCGTCGGTCTCGCCTGTGCTCCGGGGGTGGTGTCTGCCCTGCGGTTGGCCTGTCGGATTACAGCGAGCTTCCTCCGCCGATTAGCCGATCGTAAACCTCCGATGGATTGTCGCTCTGTGACATTGTGCAACGGCCCGGCGGCGACGAGGCGCTCTCTTTGTCACCGCTGCTATCACCACTGCTGGTGGGCCGCCGCCGCCGAGCTCCTCACGACCAAACCGCACGGCCGAGTGCAGCGGATGGTGGGGCCTTGTGCAATTGGGGAATCGGTTACGGCCGCGGCCGTAACCGCGGCAGTATGCCGCGGCATAGCGGAGCAGTTCGGTGAAGGAACTGCTGCGGCTGCGAAAAATCCCTGTTAGAAAATATATTTTGCATTATTTTTATTATTTTAATATAATAGTATTAAATCATTTATATTCCTTGTATTATTTTAAAGACCGGAAGGGACTTGAACTCTGCTCTTCAACTGTTTTTCTGCATTCCTAAGTACCTAGTAGGTACTTTGGAAACTAAGTTAATTTGGTACAGCCGACTTACCCATTCTAGTCTGGAATATCAACTTATTCAACATACCTTGAAAGTACACTCTATCGTTCCCGAAAATATAGCTTGTTTTATGCTATTTCGCGGATAAAAGAAAAAAACTGCTGACTTCTATTGAAGCGTCACCCCTATGTCAGTACCGCAAAGTCAAGCTGTTTTGCCCACCCGCTGACATTCGCTCCCCCTTTATCTGTCCGGCAGGCTCTCCGTTCCTCCCAGGGATGGTGCCGCCCGGTCTGCCGACTCCTAACGACACGCTGATGACTCTGTGGAACCTGTACAACAGCCGACAGGCGGCCGCCGCCGCCTCCCCGCCACCCGCCCGCCGCCACGAGCCGCCGCCGGCCGCCCCCGCCCCCGCCCCCGCCCCGGCCGTCCAGAGCGAGGCGCTCAACCTGGGCGTGCATAGAGATCTGACCAGGTAAAGAGGGGGTTGTAATTGAGCTTCTTTGCTCGGCTGGGTCTGGGTGAAGGACGGAAGGCTGGGCTGTATTTGGTTTAAATAGTATATATTTTTTACGTTTTATGCCACTGCTCTTTTCCAGTTGTAACACGAGAGCAGCCTGCGCTGTTGCCAAGTTATCGTTTTATCAGATAGCTTTTAGAAGCGGCTGGGTTTGAAAAGTTTGTAAAAATTGATTTCATTCACCATGTGAGACACAATATCGTTTGATTTATTGAGGAAAATATCATATTGTTTGAATGACGGCTGAACTGACGGTTGTCGGTTGTGTGCTGCCGTCTGTGATATAGGAGTCATTTTCATGCATTCTCTGCTATGCTCCATTCTACAATATAGACGTTATCTGACGGCTCAGTTTCGATCGTTGCCCCTCAGGTCAGAGAAGGAGCGTGACCAGCGCCGAGGTCACGAGAACGGCGGCGGGCGCGAGCGTAAGAGGCCCACTAAGAGGGAGCGACAGGAACTGGCGGCTGCCCAGCGGCTGAAGAAGGCCCGGGAGGAGTCTGAGGACATCAAGGCCGACTCGCTTCCCCACACTAAAACCACCATCACACAAAACGGTCAGTGAGACACAGGGAGTCGCTTTGTTGATGGATTCGCTCGCAGCTTTTGCTATTTTACTTTGTTGCTCGGCTTGGTCACGTATCGATTCGCATTTCGTAGTAGCTGCTGTGAAAATCCCATGCGTGGGTTGACATGCATTGATGTTTTCGTTCTGTTTACAGGTGACAGCAGCATGGTTCTGAGCATGGAGATGAACGGGGTAGTCTACCAAGGAGTTCTGTTCGCGCAGCCAAAGACGGCTCGGGTCTGAACGGGTGGATACAGTGCTGCCACCTCGAGCTTGATGAACCAACTACTAGTTGACTGACCGCGTGTAGCGCTCGCGTCGCAGTGAGGGTTTGGCCGTCGCGACAGGGACGAGACGATATAACTCGGATCTCACCGGACAATCTATGGACGGTTTGTTTGTGTGGGTGTGAGGGTGAGTGTTAACCCGATGTGTTAGCGCGATGTGTTTGCCGTTGTTATTAACCAGAGACGGTCGGTGCGTCGGAGCACCCGGCCGACAGTCAGTGGTATGATCCGTCTGTTGGGGAGCCGATTGCGCTCCTGTTCGCTGTTATTCGGCGTTTGGGCATCATTCAGTGTGCAATGAACGCTCGAGCGTGGGCGCTCGTACGCTGGCCGTGCTGTTGACGGTCTGTTACTTTCCTAACTATCACAGCTCAGGGAGTGTTACATTACCAGATTCGGGAGCGGCACTAAGGTCGACAAGTGAGCCGAAGTCGCCAAATGTATGTGGGTGTCTTGTTAGGCGGAAAAATCGTGGTGTACACCCACGTACCAGAGCAGCGCACTGGAAACTAGACACCTTGGAGTTAGTTTCTTTGCGAGCTTGTACAAAGTTTTACCTCATGTAGTCCTGAGTCGCTCTCAGTGAGGTTATATTAGCGGGTTTAAGCAGCATTTAAGGCCAAGTTTGAAGTGTGTACCTTCTCTGCTGCTAGGCGTATCCTCCTTCGTTGCGATATATTTCATTCTTAGACCGTATGTGTCAGAATTTGCGCTAGTTAGAACAGATGTCGCTTTGAAAAATTGTCACCCGTGCCCGAAGGAGCGCTAATTCTGTCTGAATAAATGCACGTTGCGACTTTGAATGGTGTTTTATCAAATGTCGGGCACTGAAGATATTCTATCGGGAAATCAGCTCTAATTAAACGAAGCAACTCGTTTGTACGCTGAAGCTGTGACACGGCGAATGTCCAAAAGCAAACAAAATGCAGCTCCAAAAGTGTCAGATTAGTCTCCGGACACCGAAATGGTGCCGCCGCGTTGTAAAGCTTTATAAAACCAACTGATACTGATGCAAGGTATGGTATCCTGCCGCGATGAAATCGTTCAAATTTTGTCTTGCGTACCTATACCTGCCTACATATCAGGTTTGGCCTTACCCTGAAAATTTGTCTCGGAAGGAAAAGCGACACGTATTTTTCGTAACGACAGAAAGCAGCTGAATGCTGAAACACCGTTTTCTAGCTGGTTTTATTTATGATATATTACTGATACGAATATCTTATGGGAGCTAGGAGCGACGCTTTGTTAACGTTCACACAGGTAACGGTACGATACAGTTCGCCGCTCTTCTTCACTATTCTACATACATCCGACGATCCGTTAAAGACATCCGATTGTAATGGATCCTAGATCACATAAAACTAAATCATCACGATTATTCAATAACATTGCTAACGTCAACCAGCATTTACCTAGTAATACTTTACACAACAACTTCACAATGTTCACCTTTCCATTTGGTCGAGCGGTCTCCGACCACGTCCAATATTTCTCGAATCTCGACCCACCCCTGGCGTGCGACCGAGTAACCACAGGTTCACCGTTCCACCACCAAGTGTCTCTACTCTGCAGCCGGCAGCAGCGGATGCCACTTTGGCGTATCGTCCTTTTTGGGTTTGAGGCTCTCCTCCCAGTGTTGGGCTCCGCTGGGGCTGGTGTCTGGACCCAGCTGGCAGAAGCCCACGCGTCTGTCCTTGCTGTAGATCTTGGAGGCCATCACAATGCATTGAATCCAGTGGAGATCCAGCTGTCGACAAGACGAGGTTATGTCATGAGACGATGCATGCGACGCCATGTCTGGGAAGGGGAACGACCTGGGAATGGGATGCGAAGCCTGAGTAGGAAGAACTGATCTGAGGTCCTCAAACTCAGCCAGCGGGAGGGGGGGGGGCGAAGACCTGCACAAAGGGAGATAGCCTGTATAGGTATGAATGTGTGCACATCGCTCGCCGCAATTAGAGTTAACCCTCGCCGGCCGAGGGGGGGGGGCGGGTGCCGCCCCCCCCATAGGGTTTTTTCGCGATAGCTCCGAACACGCCGGCGATAGAGAGCTGAAACTTTGCATACCTGACCTTTGATCCAAGCCGCATCTTTTGACACCAACCGCATTTTTGGGTCAGGTCAGGTCACTGACCTATGACGTCATAAGTGAACCTCTGCACGGTCTTCAGATGTCGCAACTTCGCAACGCCCTCACTGCCAGAGGAGATGTCACAGGGAAATGAAACTTGCAGGATCTAGTATCCATTATGAGTCTCACAACTTGTATATCTCGGATTTTTCCTAAAGGTCATATGAGGTCAGGTCATTTTCGTGACCTCACCATTATAAGTCAATGGGGAAAAATTCAAACTGCTATTCTGGCGCCGGGAACGATCTCCAACTATCTCAAGCACACAGAATCGTGATTTGATGCACTCCTTGCAAGGTTAGATGCGTCACTTTTGCAATGTTGACCTTCCGTGACGTCATTTATGACGTCATCAAGGTCATATTAGTTTTTCGTCAATAACTCCCGATCAAATTGAGCTAGCGAGTCGGGAAAGCCACCAATGGACTCAGGAAGACCTGCCGAATCGAATGATATGCGACATGACCTCTTTCGACCAACTTCGTGACCTGGGGGTGCTGACCTGACCTTGACCTGAGGTCAACACCCCAAGTTGACCTGACCCGGACAAAAAGTATATCATTCGACGCGCCTGATCAAGGCGAACACGATGCTGCCAAAATCGCGGCTCTGCGGCCGTTTTTTGCGAAGTTATTCACCAAAAACTGAACCGTACCCTGGGGCACTTGACCTGACCTCAGAGGTCACCGGTTGACCTAGGACCTTAAAATCGGGTACCAATCTCTGCGTCTCGTAACGGCGCACACGCTCGTTTTTTCCGCGACGCGCTAGCTCCACCAGGGGCGAAACGGCGAGGGGGGGGTCGTACCCGCCCCCCCCCCCCCCTCGGCCGGCGCGTATGTAGAAAACCAATAGGTCCGGCGAGGGTTAACGCGAAAAAAAGCTCCCAACTGCTCGAATTACTGATAGGACGTGACTATCGGGATACGTTATACACCGTGGTCTCAAGTGGCAAGCACCTAGGTGTGAACTTTCGTCAGAACGCGATATCGCGGCAACAGTGTACCTAAACAGAAAACGGCTCACTAGTGCACCCAATATCGCGTGAAATATAAGCTCGCTAGAAGCATGTGAAGTTAGAAGTCAGTAAGTACCGTTCCCGACTCCCTCGTAAACACACTCATCCCCCCCCCCCCCCCAATCGAATCGCCTGACCCCTCACCTCCGCCTCGGGAATGTCAAAGTGGAACGACTGGTTCCAGACGGGCGCCCTGCCTGACACTCTGCGGGACTGCTGGAGGCCGACCTCGTCACCGGCCTTCAGCAGCATGACGGCCACTGAGAACTCGGGGCTCACCTGGTGAAGAGAACGACAACAGCGTCAACAACGTCATCGACGGCAGCTACGTAATCTACAGCATCACTGCCAAAGAGAATTCGTGGCTCACCTGACGAACAGAATGACAACAACGTTACCCACAGCATCAACGGCATCAACGGTATAAACGTCTTTTGTGTCATCAGCCTCATAAACGTCAACAAAGTCATATTCGTCATCAGCGTCATAAATGCCACCAAAGTTATTTACGCCATCAGTGTAATAAATGTCAACAACTCATCTACGTAATAAATGTTATAAACATCGCCCGCTCAGCCATCGCCAGCGCCAGCGACAACAGTCATGAGCGGAACCAGTGCAACGAATAGCAATCAAAACAGCGGCTTGACCGCTCGCCGGACCGATCGGTTTTCCGCATACGCCCCAGCGCTAGGGGTGGAGAAAGGATGCGAATCTTTAATCGTTTCGCCCCTCTTTGAGATTCGTGAAAAAGAATGTGCGCCGTTACGAGACACGGTCAAAGGTATAGAATCTCAGGCCGGCCGGTGACCTCTAATGTCCGGTTAAATTATCCGATTGGCATCTCTAAGTCGAGCCCACGTGACCAGCTGACCTGTCACGCTGGCGGGGCCGGGTCAGCAGCAGGATCGGCCGGCGAGGGTCGAGAACTATCGGCTGGAACGCTGCGTAGGGCGGGTGTCGCTGCCTTGTGTGATAGGGTGTTTTGGAAGGTGATCCGTGGCAGTGAATGCGTGATGAGCTTTGGAAATGATGACGTCTCCTTTGAACGGCCACCTCACTGGACTTTGGAGCGTCATAAGGTGCAGCACTTAGGTCAGTGTGTACCTTATAATTTATGCTTCGCAGGATAACGCGGGTTGATAGCTTATATTTTTGAAAAACCTTCAAGCAACAGGGAATTTAAAAGCAGGGAGGCTCGAAAATTCCAGCTTGAATTGGGTTTTGTTGTTAATATGCTTTAAAAACTTGATTGTGTTTTTGTTGACCTTTTTTGCTCTTGCTCGAATATAGACCATTTAATCTGCTATTTTGTCATCGTGTGTGGCGCACAATAAAAGAAAAATTCATTGCGTGTCTTCCGTTTGGAGTCCGACGCAATAATAACGGCACAAAGGGGCACAGTGTGCTAATATGCCGTGCGTAAAATCATGAGCCAAATGCTGGCCGTTGGTGAATTATTGCTTTCCGTGTTTCGCTGTTTCGCATTTTTTTTTTTGCATAAGTCTGTTCATATACTTACAGCTCTGCTCCGCCCTACATGGCAGCACACATCTCTACCAGCAATCCATTTTTTACCAATAATGACGTTGGGTAATTCCTTAGTGCCACCCAGATTGCTCGCCAGAGGCAGTGACCATAATAGCTCGGACCTATCAAACATATTACCCTATAGGGTATAGCACACATATAGCACATGTGCTATAGCACACAAAAATAGCCATCGCCGTGTGGGAATATCGGCTCGACGAGCGAGCGGCGGGTGTTATTTCTGGCGCCATGCGTGGCGCCATACACGCATTTCCAGCCCCACCGTGCACGACATCGCCTCGTTGATCGTTCTCGTAAAGGTAAAGGTAAGGTAACTGAAGTGGGCTTCTTGAGAAAAGTGAGATTTGTTAGTTTTCTATCCGATCAACATGCTTAAGCTTTACCTGCAGAAACATTAATACGTAAGAGTGCACTGCTAACATATGCTGAATTTGATATCAGATGCAGATCCATTTTCCATAGGCATTCATTTTGTTGAGGTACAGGCATTTGTTTTTTCCTTACGTTGATATGTTAATTAAGATACCTACGAGTCACATCCACAATCACTAAAGTAAATGAACGCGGCTTAGAACAGAAGTGTTTTCAGTACTTGGATTGAGCTTGAGTTTATAAACGAAGTAAAGCTCATTATCTTCTCAGTAATTTCCATCTAACATTTCTGCGTGGCAATTGTTTCCAGGCCATAAAACGTCACGATTGACGATTCTCTACAGTATCCGCCACGTTATCACCATAATAATCACGATCGCTGACGCCTGATATCAGAACGTGACGTCGCGTTCCTCGGATCACAAACTATAGGTCACCCACGCGACCATAAAATTGGCTAACTCCGCTCTCCGATAGCACTCCGAGAACTAATCACAAAACTCCGCGAGAGGTGTCTATGCATTCTCCGATAAACCAGGAACACTCCCCCACCATCTTCAGATGCAGGGCAGCCTCCAAAATATCGCCGCCGGGCAGCCGGGCGCTGGGCGACCCGACCGACACTAATGATGTGCGGGCCGTGCCAATATCTCGCCATTAGTGAGCCATGCGTGCCGATAGGGTGGTGACCTGAGGCCGTAATGGGCCGGCTCCACATCACACACATCAGCGCCGTCAGACGACGTCACTCAGCCGCTAACGATCGCCGTCAGTCGTCTGTGGGCGGGCGCAGGATTGTCCCGCACCGCGGGCACTATTTCTGGTCTGTTTTACCCCCGTCTCTTCCATATCAAAGGTTGGGAGATATCGCTGGACGATGGACATGTTGACATTGATACCCATAGTTTGATGATGAATTTTTATTTTTGGTTGTCTCATACGCAGGTCTTGTCTGGGCCGTGTGTCCATCATAATGAAAATGTATATACCTACGCAGAAAAGCAGACTATTTGAGGTAAATTCCCATCGTTATGTTAAAGTTCCACATAAGGTAAAATATTTTCCATCATTTTGCGACTGATATGTCTGTCATCTTTGTACGTGGTATAAATAAGGACTGCTCTTTGCTGAACAGATAAAGCTTGGTTTTTGCTTTAGTGCTTGAGCTAAGTTTATTTTGGGGTAATAGTTTTTACTGTTATTCGCACACAAAAAAATGGCAGAATATACCACACAAATTGATTGAAGATTGAATTGAATGAAATTATATTGAATATAATTAAAATTAAATTGAAATTTAAAAAAAAAAAATTGAAATTAAATTGAAAAATTAAAATTAAAAAATTAAAAAAAAATTAAAAAAATTAAAAAAATTTAAAAAAAAAATTAAAAATTGAAATTAAATTGAATATAATTATGAAATTATATCAAATTGAATGAAATTATAAAAAGCTGATTAGAAACAGCAAAACCGTACCAAGCTCACTGAAAAAAGTGAAAAACATGCAGAGTAGCTTGAGACTTCCCTCAATATTTCATCTCCATGGCTCACATATATGCAGCCAACGTCACAACTCAAACCTCGACTTTCCCGTTTACGAGCTTTGCGTACTGGCCGGACTCGGTACAACTGTCCTCAAGCAGCGATCCCCCATTTGGCACGTGCCACGGTCTCCGCCAATCAGAAGCGTCAATAGTCAATAGTCAATAGTCAGGTCAAAGGGCACATTTGTCCAAGTAATATGCCGTTGTCCGGCAAAGCATGTGTTTGGGGCGTGATAGGTAGCGACAGGATGTTTTTCCGTGCAATCATCGTAATAAGGACAGGTGAAGCTATTGAAAACGGCAGTCATGGGGTAGCATAAATACTTAAATAGTTATTTCGGGCATTCCTATATGCTCTGAATGTTTGGTTTATAATAGAATCATTGTCATGTACGCCGATGATGTACAGTTCTTGGACACCGACCTGTCGGAGAACTTACCTCTGCTGAAGTGTCGCGTGGAGAACATGCTGTCTGTCGCCTTGCGGTGGTTCACCCAAAATAGGCTTAAGGTCAACCCTACGAAAACCGACATGCTTCTTCTCAAATCAGCTCGAAAAATTGTCACCGGTGACTTCACAGTGAAATTTGGCAGCTCTTCTATTAACTCTGTACGATCGTCCAAGATTCTGGGTGTGACTCTTGACTCGTGTCTGTCGTGGGAGCAGCATATAACGGCGGTTGTCAGGCGATGCTACTCGATTCTGATTGGTCTCGCGAGAATGCAGCGCCGTATACCTCGAGAGACGAAGCAGCTGCTGGTGGAGACGCTGGTGTTTCCCCACCTGCGGTACTGTAGCTCTGTGTGGGGAAGCTGTTCCGTCACACAGAAACGCAGACTGCAGAAGTGCACCAACTTTGGCGCTCGCGTTGTAACCGGCCTAGGATACCGAGAACATGTCACGGAAACGCTGCGAGAGCTAGGGTGGAAACGGATCGAGCAGATGGTAACTGAGCACGACAGCTGTGTCATGTACCGACTGTTACACGATACCAGGGTCTCGGAGGTGTTACGCACACGGATTACCAGTCGTTCCGATGTAGCTGCACGTGAGACGAGGGCCACTGTCGACGGCCAACTCGAGGTGCCGCGCACGCGCACCGAATTCGCCAGACGGTCGTTCTACGCCCGAGCCGTAAGGGCGTGGAATGAGCTGCCACGATGTGTGAGGAGCTCCGCCACCTACGCTTCTTTCAAGAGGCAGGTGACCGGTGCCGGTTGATCTAGTGATCTCGCTTGAGACCTTGTAGGTATTTTAACCATTTTAAGGATTTTAGTCGGGTACATGTCCTTCTTTTGTGTGATATATTGTAGGAATTATGTTGGGTACTTGTATGACGTGGATAACTGAAAACCCACCCGATGGATGTTTTCCGAAATACATGATTATGATTATGATTATGATTATTGTAAAATTCACGACTTGCTGGAAGTTCAAGAACAGAGTTATTTTTAATGTATAACGTTTTTTTGTGATTTCTTCCCAAAGGTTATGCAGACAGGCAGACTTGGTGATGGGTGGCTCCAGCTGAGTTACGGTGAAGATAGTGGCTCTGGCTCGCAACATATCTTATCACTAAAAGGTAAAATCGTTGGTCACTGGTCAAAAACTGATTTAATGATCGTGTTTCAGGGGAACATACCTCCATTTCGCTATAACTGGAACAGCAAACCACACCTCTCAGATAATATCCCATCAAATTAATTACAAAAATGTTCTTCGGAATATGTAGGAAATCCAAGTAATTCGCTTTATTACCGCATAATTGCGATCAACTGTCACGCCATCGCACCCAATACCATCAATTATCCCAACATTGCACACCACAAAAAACAACACAGCCGAACGTGGACAACACTGGGGAAGACCATACATGGACAACGTCGCGCGTCAGGGAGCTTGGCAACAACGGTTACCTTGGGGACAACGGACATCTCGTGTATAATTGACACGCCTTGGATTGCGGACAGCCCCGGGACAACAGACAACCATGGATATCGGACAGCTCATCGGACAGAGCTCGGGAACATCGGACAGCTCTCTGGGAGCAGTGGGAAACCCCTGGGCAGAAGACAACTTGGGACGGCGGACAGCTGAAGACAGCCTTGCACAAATCTGGCAAGGGCAGCCAGTATGGGAGACAGCGGACAACGTCGCGCGTGGCAGAAAACTCTGGGACAGCGGACAACTTGGGACGGCGGACACCTGAAGACAGCCTTCCACAAATCTGTGAGCGGTAGCAAACACGGGAGACAGCGGACAGCGTCGCGCGTGGCATACAACTCTGGGACAGCGGGCAACTCACCAGTCCGCGCGAGTCCGGCAGGTTCTCCCCCCGGCGCAGGAAGACGGTCATCCTGCCCTGTGCGTGACTGTAGCGCAGGCTGAGCAGCAGCTGCCCCAGGGTCGGAGGAGACAGACCCGCCTCGTCGGCGGCTGAGGTGTGACTCGGCTGCAGCTGCCGCACACAGGAACAAGAAGAGTGGGGTGTTAAGGCAGGGCGATCAAACAGGCTGTTCAGACAATGCGTTTGGCTAAAATCTTACACTTTTGTGTTTTCTTGAGTACATGGATTTAAGTAATACATTGCGCTATTTTCTATCTTCAGGCTTACTCAATTCGTTTTAATTACTGGTATTTCAGCTTAACTCAATGACTTCTATATAAAAAGGTCGATATGGTTTCAAGCGTATTCCGATAGTTCTTTCATTTCATCGATAAGCTCATAGCACTCAATCCTGGAATTCGAATTCCGTTACAATGAATACGGGACTGAGAATTGTGGCTGAGGTGCTGCACATAAATACAATCTCGTTCTTATGCATTGTCAGCCATGGCACATTTCAAAAGAGGACTGTTTGAAACCCGAGAGAATTCCTGTGTTGCCATCTATTCGTGGCGAGGCGAATTTTTATGTAAATTTGTGCCGCTCCACCGGACGCGAGAGAGCGGAGTGGTGGCCCGGTGGCGGCCCACGTTACTGTTCGTAGCGAACACTCGTAACGAGGCTTGTAACGAGCTCAGCGGGCACTCGTCAAAAAGGATATTCGTTCGGCTAATCGAACACCTTCTCCAATTCAAACACCTCGATGAACAAGTATGCCTTTAGATTCTCTGCTTATATAAATTGAGCTGCACCTCTCGCCCATAATTCCTTTTTGAAGTACGCTTATAGGTAGTTCAATCGTCTTCCAAACCTGGAATAGTGTTCATCTCACAGCTCCCAGATATATGTGGAGCTCATGCTAATAGCACAGAGCTTATTAAGCAAATCCTGGTAAGCGAGGCAGCATATTACTAACAGGATGTTAGCTATCCATTTTGGCCACCAGATAGTAAAGCAGCCATCAGGAAAATCCCACTACCTCCATAATATTACTTAAATAACGCTAGCACATCCTATGTTGCAAAGCACAAATGACGAGGCGAAGGAAATCTGGCATTATTTCCATTGATCGGTATTGTTGTTCCCCGTTTCATAAGTCAGCGCGCCATTGAACTCACCGGGATCGTCCTCTTTTTGCCGGGCTTGCTGAAGATGACGTTACAGGCGGCCGGTGTGCCAGAGGCCAGGCCGAGCTCCGCCAGTCTGACGCTGCCCTCGCCGATCAGCTTCTCGGTGAGGCTGCTGTAGCGCTTGACGTACAGGTGGCAGCTGAGCTGGCCCTGATCCAGCCAGTCGGCCTCCACGCCGGCAAACGTCAGCACCTGCTGCTGCTGCTGCTGCTGCTGCTGACTGTCCAGCTGCAGCGGCCGCGACTCCTGTTGTTGACCGAGCACCGTCAGGCGCACCAGGAACGGCCGGTCCCGGTAGCGCAGAGGCGGGTTCAGCAGACGGTTCAGACACACGGTTAGAGACCGGTTTACCGCCGTGTAGACCACGTGGAACTCGAGTCGAGGACGCACCTGCACAGCCCGAGAGCCCTGGGGACGGAGAGGAGTGCCAGGGTTATTGGATAGGACCACCGAACTCAACAATTTTAATTACTTGTCGACGCTTTTCAGGTACTGCAAATAACCAAAAATTACGAGGCAATGAAAAAAGATTGATTACCTATCTGAGCGAGGCTCCAAGGTCATAGTAATAATAAATTGAAAGCCACCAAGTGAAGGTATAAAAACGCAACTGGTTACATAAACTTAAAAGCATGCCTTTTTATTTCACGTGAGTGCATTTTCTAACCCACACGAGTGAGCATCGGTCGACGACAAATGTAATATAACTGAGTCCTATGGTTATAATAATGTGCCACAATAAGCTAGCTTCCAATTAATAACTCTTCCGGTGCGGCAGTGAAAATAGACCAGAGCAACCACATTGCACACTGCAGCAATGATACAAAGACGCACCTACAAAGATAAGGGGTCACCCACACCACTGATGGCAATTTTAATCCATTGCCTCTGGGAAGTATAATAGCGTTGTGGGTTGTATTTTATTGCAGTTTAATAATTGTCACGGGCGACGGTACAAGGTGATCAGAAACGTAATTGGAAACGAGATAAGGCTATACAAATACCGACTGCGATTGGTAATTACGATTGCCAATTTGTAACGCACGTCAGTGTTGTCTTCTTTCTTTCCTCCATTTCCAGCTGGTATCCACCAGTTTCTCGTGAAGTTTTTTCAGTATTTACGCATTTTTACACCAGTAAGTATCATCCATGATCCTCCTTGATCAGTTGTCATCCGCCAGAAAGTGGATACAAGTGGCAGATAAATCTTAAAACGCTCAACTCTCGTCGCCGAAAAAAAAATATTGGCATTGGTCACAGATAACAGTAGTACTACTGTTACTACTGTACTACTGTTATCTGTGCATTGGTATATATAGGCCCTTGATTGTCATTATATATACGGAGGACAGGGATAATGTTAGTAAAGAAATATTGATGGAGAAAGGTCGCTCGTGTGCATCGATCTCTCATGACTCATTTAAGCAGATACCTACTATTATTTTCTACCACCTTTTTTTAAATTTTATCACCTCTTCTTATAGCCGCTCTCATAGCCGACGCACAAATTGCAAGCAGCATGCAGCAGCATCTGGTCTTTCGCACTATCCCCACATCCCTTGCTCTCCTTCATTCTATATGTCCCTCCCCTTCCTCCTCCTCCACATTCTTCCCAAGCTCCACTGTCTCCCCCGCTATCCTCACATTATCTATCCACCTTTCATTTTTTCTTTCCCCTTCTACCTTCCTTTCTTTTCCTTCTCTGTCCCCACCGTCCTCCTCAAGATTACTTTACGTCCTCCTCACCTGTCCCTCCTCGTCGGACGCAATTGAGGACTGTTCAGAAGGCGACACGGACTCCTCGCCCCCATCCCGCGCTACCGTGGGCATGTAGCCCGGCTTCGCTCCCGGCTCCAGCACCAGATGTTCCATGGATCGGGAGAGCGCAGCTCGCAGGAGCTCCTGACTCTTGATCTGACCGTGACGACGTTCATACTGCTCCAGGAAGAGGTCGGCACCGACCTCTGCTGGCTGCACGGGCACACCCACGGTGCTGTGCAGAGGGTGGCGCTTCACAGTGCGGACTGAGAGGCGTCTCTCCTTCTCTGCCAGGGGCTTCCTCCGGCGTCGGCGCCAGCGGCGACACAGGAGGACCACGGCCAGTAACAGCAGCGCGGCTACCAGGCCGGCCACGCAGCCCAGCACGATGGACAGGTCACGACCTGGTGGGGACGGGTCACAGAGGTCAGTCAGCAGCGCGGCCACCAGACCGGCCACGCAGCCCAGCCCGATGGACAGGTCACGGCCTGGTGGGGACAGGTCACAGAGGTCAGTGGCTAGTAGTGGTTGCGGGCGGTGAAATCACTGACGGGACCAGGAACAAGATGCTTGCTTGACTCATGACTGATATATGTAGATTGCAGATAGATAAATGTTTTTCCAAAAACATGTTTTTTCTGAAAGTTGCAAAATGTACCCGAAAGCTGACTTAAGGGGAGCAAAAAAAAATCATATATAGACAGAAAAGTAACTACAGCAATAGTAGCCGCTTGTACGACGGCCATCTGGTACACATTTCGTGTAGATTAGGTGCAGATTTGATGCAGATTTGTTCAGATTAGGTCCGTTGTATTTCTTAAATATTGCCAGTTTGGGTCGGACAGATGATTATAGACCTCATTTTTTCACATTATCAGACAATATTTTCTATTAACCCGCGCCCCACTGGGGTCTGTGTATAACACGCCCTACTGGGGGGGGGGGCTATTCATAGCCCCCCTCCTAACTCCGAAACTACTGGGCCGATCGTCAAAATTCAAACGGCGTCTGATAGCCCCGGAAAAACTGTCGTGCGAAACCTAATTTCATTGACCTCGAGGTCACCGATGACGTCACAGGTCAGGTCAAAGTAAAAATTATTAGCATTTTGGCTTGTTCACATTTTGGGCTCTGGCCGCCGTCTTACAAGTCAGATCAGGCTCATTTTTGGTACACACACTCTTAAACAGATGCTTTAGATACCCTGAGGGTACCAAGCTTTTACTTTGATTTTCAGGTCAAGGTCAGGTCATCACAGGCCACGAAAATATTTTATCATGCGTTGGTCACGTGACACATGTTTTATGGTCCATTTAGGCCACATATTTTGAATTTGATGTCGTCTGTGTCATTCGAGGTCATTTTGAGTCGAATTTAGCTTAGGTCAGGTCACTTTCAGGTCAAAAAAGGTCAAATTTTGAAGTTAAAATATTTCAACAAAAAAGGTGTCTATTGGATGCAGTTTGAGCTCAGGAACACGATGGTGCCATTTATATTGGTGTACGATGTCAAATACGTACTGAAAAATTGATTTGAAAAATTAATAATTGTGAATTTTTTGCAATAATGCGTATAACTTGGCCATTTTTGAAGATATTTAGCTAAAACTTGCTAGAGTTAGTCATAATCATGCGTTCTGTCACATATATTCTGGTTTTTTCGAAAAGTCAAAAACTTTTGAAAAAAAAATACAAATTTTGAATATTATTATATCAAATTTTCGAAATTTTCAAAATTTTGAAAATTCGAGATAGCAGTTTGATAGCGCGGTCAATTCTGAGTCCTTTCATGCAAAGAAATTGGATCTAGCTTAAAAACTGAGCTCTTGGGAGCGATTGCCGTGGTTCAATGTTTTGCGTCGAAATCGGCCGAACATGACGTTACTCTGACGTCATTTCCGGCCGACCTATGGTAGCTACGAAGTTCAAATTTTGACACAAGGTGTCAAATTGATGCAGCCAAAGGTACTGTAAGTTTAGCGTCGATCCGTCAAGCGATTTGGAAGTTATTGCAGAAAAACGGGAGGGGGGCTATAAATAGCCCCCCCCCCCAGTGGGGCGCGGGTTAAAACACTGAAATAAATTCAGAATATAAAAAATATTTGTTGTTAAAAACAGATTTGGTGCAGATTTGGTCAAATTAGGTGGATTTGCCAGATAGCCCGTAGCGAAAACGGCTATTATCAACCTGCATATTGGCAGGACAGCCTGCAGGATGTCCTGCCAAACATCATAAAATGTCTGTTTGGTTCGGTGCCAGCCGGTTTTGATTTCCCCCGGCGCGCTGGCCGATGATAAAAGCGGCATTCGTGTCAACACAGAAGCGAAGCGATGTTGGGTCCCTGCGGTCAGCTAGGTTTAAGGTGAACATGCTTCTGCTGGGGTTTAGGAGGAGGGGAGACATTTATCAATCTCGGGGGGGGGGGGGGGGAGGGACAGTCTAAGACACACAGCTGTGTATTGGCGGTGCATAGGTTTCATCCGACAGGTCCTTGTCTGTCCTTAGGCTCTTGGAACAATCTTGTGAGAAGTTTATTCTAGGTGAAGCCCATGTAGTGCTAGGACATTTTCACCACCTGTATCAGTCGTTAAACGTTACAACATCGACCTATGCAGGGTTTTGTAACTGAAGCCGCAAAAATGTGTCCTAAAAGTAACCAGCCCCCCCCCCCCCATTCAATCATTCGGACTCAACTTCTTCCGAAACTCTGCTGCTGCCGTGCATAATGCGTAGTGTCTCCGCGAGCATGGTATTTGTTCGGTATTCTGTTTGGCGGAAACCATACAAACAACTTCGTATCTTTATTTATAGAATGGTCGATGCGTTGAGCTTCATTCACATCTGATACTTGTAATTCTATCCCACATCTGCTGAAAGCTCGAAATGTGGTCCGTTCAAAACAGGCGCTCCAAACGTGGCTTTCGGAGAAATAACAGATTAACAGAACGGGGTAAAATCCCGCGAAAACTGCCTTTATCAAAAACCAGCTCAAACCACCAAAGGACAAGCCACAGAGATAGCTTCCCCGAAATGTTTGCCGCATCCATCCCATTCAATGTCAACTTACGGTCGTTAGAGGTGGCTGAGCCAGGTGCACAGGCAAACTTTGGCAATACGTTTACCGTCCCTGAGTGCCGACACAGCTCGAAAGTTCGTGACTAGGTATCGCACGGATTAGCATATCGGAGTTCAGTTCATTACAGTGCCTGAAGGGTACTGTTGTAAAGCACGTTGGCAGGGACGAATCTAAAAGTTAGACTTAACCCAGATTCTCTGAGCCGGTGATATTTTTTCATAATGCTGCTACCGGCCAATAGAGCCTATTATACTTCCGACGTAATGCGGCGTTTTTTATGGCATAAAGAAACCAACGAAAACGTTGAGCCCGATGATTGAATAACCAGTGACTACCTGACACGAATTAGGTACATTCTTTCCATCATTGAGCGGAGGTCAAAACACGAAATTATTGATGATTTTTTTTTCTGAGTGAGGGATACAACCACGGCATAAGGCAAAACGTCATAAAACAAAGCCAATGCATATGTTGCCGCCTCGCTTTGCTTTCGTTGCCACTTCTGCGGACATTTGTTCTGGATTTAAAATCCTAGAAGTCTTTTTTGTTCCATTTTCAAACAAGGTGGCGTGATGATATTAAGACTGATAAGTTGTGTTAATTGGGTGTTTTAGGAGCCACTGTGCATATGTTAATGATAAGTCACATCATTAGTAGCTAAAATCAATATCAACTCAACCGATAATACCAACAGGAGAATGAAGAGAAAGACTGAGAAAGAGCGAGAAAGAGGAAAGTATGTAGAGACAGGGAAAAAGTTTACATTTATTTTCAAAATTTCGGCTAAAAAGCTGTGTACCTTGTCCCTTTAAACGCCACGCACAAGGATATTCAGCTTCAAACACAGCGCCGACTCGAAATGAAACACGGTGAGAAGTTGCTACTTATGGCTCATCTCCATACGCTTTGTTAGGTGACACTTCATCTGGTGATGAGAGTGCCGGAGCTCCGGAGGAAGTCCCTGAGCACCACTTGACTGCATTCAGGGCGGCGTGGCGGTCCACTCTCGTTCCGGCGATATTGCTTGGAGACGCACCGTGCCCAACCAGAATGGCTCCCAGTATGGCGCCATTACCGGGGACGTGAGTCGGGGAAATGAAAAGGGGCAGGCGCAAACTATTTTCATCATTGGATGGCGTTTTGCACGGTCGCAGAATACAAATAAGGGTGAGTGCCTACACACTTGAAGCAAATATCGCTACCACATGCTCAATGCTGCTATCTGCATGTAGTAAACGGGATCAGGTAACTGACCAATCTAAGCTTTAAACTCACCGGAAACTGGCCGTTTTTCATCCTTCAAAGTTACAGAGGGATCCGAGCTTCTTGCATTTAGTCCCTACTTGAGATCGAGCCCTGCTAGATCGCAAGTTCGCTGCCCTAATAGAGACGAAACTAATGGCATTCGATTTTGAGGTCACGGGTCAATCGGTGGCCTCCAAGGTTGGGTTGAAAATCTTATAATTTGGATCATTTTGTTTTGTGTTTTACAATACATTTAAGAAATGCTTGCGGAACAAAAGTAATGTTAAAAGCATCTTTCATTTTCTCGAGCGTCCAATAGAACAATAAAATTTGGTAAAAAAAAAGAGTTCAAAGTTGACCTTGGGTGATCTTGGATGACCTTGAATCACCTTAACAAATGGTGGAACTTCATTTCAACTAAGTTTTTTCTTTGACGTGTCTATCGTGGCACTAGACACATTTATGAAAACGCTCAAGTGAATTAACTTTACAAATTAAATTCACGTTGAACGATTCTCCCACCTTGCGGAGGATAAATCGCTCGCTTTTCATGAATCAACACATATTGCCCGAATGAACATCAAACAACACCCAGCCGACCGTCTAATATCTCCCTTATACACATGCAACTCACCGTTCATGTTTCCGTCCTGGTGCTGTTTCGGCGGCGCTCCCTGTCACCACCGCGTCCTCCCACTGTGTGCCGGTCCGACCGGCCACCGACCGACCACCCCAGACCGCGGCAGGCGGCGGCGCGGACGGGCGGCGCACGACGACAACTGCGGCGCACGGCGTCGTCCGCGGCGCGGCGCGAGGGGAGCTCTATCGGCCGGGTCTGTCGCTGCTGGCGTCACCGTCTCGTAAACCTTATCGGCGCCGATAGTGCCTGATCTGGGAGCACGGGGCGTGTGGTCAGGGGCAGTGATCAATCCCAGCAGGGCTTTACAGAGACCGGGAGCTGTGAAAGACCGGGTGACTGATCACTTTGATCAGCCCCGCCCGCTCTGCTGAGCCGCGGCCAACGCGCAGCACAGATGAATACGGACACGCGAGGCAGAGGCGGAATGATGAGACTGCGTTCTGAGGAGAGACTGATTAGATTTTGGCTTGTGCGTGATTACAGAGCCCGGCTCGAGAACCCAACGAAGTCTTTCAGTGTTGTGCGGCTATAATTCCCGGAAGCTGTTATTTCCGCTGCTCACTTCGTATTGCGTAATGAATATAGCAACGGAGAAATATATGACATGTTGACGTCCTCACCACATATAATTTAGTGCTGCTCATAAAGATAAAGACAAGTAAAGGCTTACTTAAAATCAAGATAAAGGCATTATTCCGTGAACAGGACATTGTCAAGACAGTACCTACCGTGCAATTTTAATCTAACTTGTTATGTTTTATTCACACATAAAGCTCAAAGGTTGATGAATTAGTTCAAAGAATACCTATTATGGATTTTGAGGCTAATATTTTTTCACAGCAAGCCTTTTTCGTTCATTGGCACATTTGCTACGTGACATGTGAGTGATATGGGCTAATATAAATTTTGCTGATGGCTTGGAAATCTGTTTTAAGCCCATTATCTTTAAATACCATTAGTTTTCACTTCAGACACGTTCCTAGTTAAATATAGAACCTATCTCCGAAAGCACATCACAGGAGCATTTCCCACGACACCACGTCGTCAGCCGATTTTCTGGCCGACTCAATCGTCATCTTTGACGGCGTAATGTCGCCAGCGTCCCGGAGAATTGGTTATCATCGCCTTTTGCCCAGTTGAGCCTCCGTCATCGATTTGTGGGGCCGTCGGCCGCGGGGCTGCGGCGACTGTCGTCCTTTGAGCTATGCTGGAGGGCGGCATACGACGATAATAACAGTGCAGTTGCTGTGTGCCGACGGGCCGCTGGCGGGGGCACGGGTGGAGGTCGTGTGCCGCTGCTACGCTGCCACCATGCAGGTGCAACACATGCAGATTGAGGGCTGATTGCATGGTGGAAGCTGGAGCTAGTGAATAGTTTATCGATTACGCCGTGTTGCAATGGATGAGACTTCGCGGCGAGTTGTCAAACAAACTGACTACGTGTTGTCGGCGAAATGGCTGCGTGTGACCTTCGTGAAAGGTCACCGGAGACTGAATGGCCGGAACGTGCCAAGAACCATCAAAAGTTGGAGAGTTAATATGGAAACCTTTCCAACTCGGAACAGGGAAGTGGTGGGTATCGATCCTTCATCGGCGCTGCCCGCGTGTTACATGACAGGAAGTTGTTAGTGAAAGCAAAAACGCATTCGAGGAAGTCAAGAGAGGATCTTCAATAAAAACAAATGTGTCAATAATAAAATGAATTTATCAACTGAAGTGGAGCTCTTACCAGGGCTCAATCTTATAAACGCCGTGGAATGGATATGGCAGCACGGGCTGAAGTTTAGCTGCAGAAAACGGCTATGGCAAATGCAAAACGGTGTTCACGTATTTCAGTCCATCGTATATTGACGGTCCAAAGAATCATTTCGTCGACTCGGATAACCGTTTGTCAGCACTAGAATCACTGTAAATGTTGCCAAATCCCTTGAATAGAATGGTACGGCATTGTATCAGATTGGACCCAGCAGACGCGTTTTTGGTGTTGTAATTACATACAAGTGATGGTTCCTAACTTTAAGGTGTCCGGTTAGTTGCTGTTCGTTAGGGCGGCTAGAAGGGTTTATAAGTCGGGGTCTTTTTTGCTGACATCGCATCTGCCAATCAGGGACCTTCGGCACCCGTTCCGCAGCCCCTGTAAAACAAACAAACTTATAGGCATATTAGGCCTATATGATGGATAATATGTAGATTATTGACCGCTGTAGCTGCCACCAATCCATGAGTTCAGCACTAGTGCAGCGGTGAAACTGAATTGACTTTGAGTGCAACATGTCGAAACGTTCTTGAGATGTAGCATAATAGCCGTGCACTTTATAATACATGCATGTAGAAAACATGTGATTTGTGTTGTCATCCATCAAACTGGTCCCATAAGAATCCGTATCACATTCATTTGACATTTTCCGTACCCAGTTTGACCAGCAATCTGTGCTTACTCGCTCACCTGATATTTCTTCCTGGCTCATGTTTCCACATTAGCGACTCTTCTGTCCGCTACCGACCACATCACACCGCATTTCCATCACACCCTTCACCTCACCATACCATTACTCACTGTCCTGTACCATAGCGCCCCGTTCGACCACTGACCTCTAACAGCTGACCCAAACACACTCGATGTGATGTGTCACAGGTGTATCTGGCTGCCCGTGTGACTGTGACCGTCACAGATGTGAACAGGCGGCTCACAGGCGGCTCACAGGGCGGACACCTGCGCTCGTTTGGCCCGGTGTGGACGGGATACGGGCGCACTCGACCCCCGACCGCCCGGCAGTGCCGTGTTCATCGATCGGCCTCGCCTGGTTCCTCATGACACCCGTTCTGTTATCAATGCAGCGGGTACCCGGTAATGAGGGGTCACGTGACCAGCGCCCATGGATGTCGTGGTAACCGGGGCTTACCACTGCAGAGGCTGCCAGATTATTACGATTATTATCGGACGGAGGCTACCAGTTGTTGCAAAACCTGGCGTTCAACCAAAAGTTTGGGCTGCTGCTAGTCATGTTGACATAATCAAATAAGAACCAATTCAAGTGTCTATTTCTTTTGAATTCGTGGTATAGGTGCTTCACTACAATGTCGATGCCATTGCATATAGGCCTAAGCCATACACCACTACAAAAAAGGTTAATTCAGAAGGGAAGACGTTGATATTATACATAATATGGCACCTTTATTTTTTTTTCTCGTACATTTTGAGCTTGAATGCACTCTTGTGTCCGTAAAAAAAAAACAACGAAAAAACGACAAGTTATACCTAATGAACTGTAGCAAAGCTGGAGAATGTCTTACATTCATTATGCAGACAGAGCTGTCGTCAGAACACTGCATTATTATACCCGGATCCACGTCCCGGCTACAGCGTCCCGAGGTTTCGCCGAATAACGTCTGATGTATGAGTAACGAAATTACCGTTGACACGTTCCTGACGCAGTACAATTAACCAAATCGGCAGACGCCAGGATGCATCTCATTGAATGAAAATTACGAGGGGCGTTCAAAAAGTTATCGGCCCGACCATGAAGGAGCAGAGATACGACGTCGACTTATTAGACCAAAAATGTTCATTTATTCAAATAACCAGCGTTAAGACAAAAACATTTCGCGCAGCGCTTCGCGAGAGGCCCCTGGGTCTCCATAGCCAAGTGGGTTTCGGACGCATCTGGCACGTCCAAGACGGCTGCTTTTGTCTCCTTGCTGTCAGCGAAGTTGCCACTGCTAAGCAATTTCCTTATGTTGGGGAAGAGGTGGCAACCTGATGGTGCAAGACAGGGAGAAAAAAGTGGCTGTGACAACAACTCGAAGCCACAGCTCACTGCTTCGCTGATCGTCACCCTGCTCATGTGTGCTGGTGCGTCGTCCTGGATCAGAAGCACACTTTTAGTCAGCTTCCCTAGTCTCTCCTTGATATCTGCTGCTCGCTACTGTTATCGAAGGGAGGTGTAGTATTCATCATTAATTGTGCGCCCCTGTTTTAGAAAGTTGACGAGCAGAGCCCCGCCAGCATCCCAAAATGCAACCACTGTCACCTTGCCGTCTGACTTAAACACGTCGCACACATTTGATGGCCTTTACTCAGTGTGCTTCCACTTGTGCAACTCGGTCACGCCCTTAGGATCAACGTGTGACACCCACAACCCCTCCACGGTAACAAGTAGTTCAATGAACTCTTTTGGATCTTCGATATAGGGACCAAAATTTTCGCGTTACGCCTCCTTTCGAGTTTGCCTTTCCTCTGGAGTCAGCAAACGGGGGATGCATCTTGCAGAGATCTTAAACATATTAATACGCTGTCGAAGAATGGCTTTGAGGGACCTGATAGACACCTCCGCTTCTGCTGCGTTGTTCCAGACCAGAACATTTGTCATTTTCACAAAGAAGTGCTAATTTTTCATATTTTCTTGAGTCAATGCTGTTGATGGCTGGCCACTGCGGGGGTGACCTTTAATGATCTGTTGACCAAAATTGAACAGAGATGTACTCTTTTTGACGCTATATTGTAAGAAAGACAAACCTCAACATGTGTTGGCACTAGCTTTTCGTGAATAACGTTTGGTGCATTTTCCTGCAATACATGAACCAAATCACTGCTCCCTTCTGGGCGTCGCCCATTCTGACCGGGAATGGCAAACTATGTTACGATTAATTAGCAGCCTGAACCAATCACAGGGCAGATTGGTTAATGGCTACGTAAGTGGACATCCCAATAACACATCATTGAACACACCGCGTTGCAGGCCGAAATTCCAACTCCTTCATGGTTGGGCCGAGAACTTTTTGAACGCCCCTCGTATCTTCCACTGGTCATTCATGGCCCGTTATTAGGTTAGGAGCAATTGATGTCAAAAGTGGTCATCACTTATCAGTGATCGATATCGTGTGAGGTCAGTGTATTCTCGCTATTTGTTATTGTACATACATATATTCTTCAGGTTATACTTGTAAACCTATAGAAGCTAGTGTATGTTGTATAACTTAACACGCGTATGACTGGGGTATTTTCCATAACGCGAGTGACTGAGGGGGGCTCTCCAGAGCCCCCCTCCTATCTCCGAAACTACAGAGCCGATTGTCAAAATTCAAACGGCGTCTGATAGCCCTGGAAAAACTGTCGAGTGAAACCTATTTTATTGACCTCAAGGTCACCGATGACGTCACAGGTCAGGTCAAAGTAA